TGGCGCGCTGCCGGGGAAGGGCGAGTCCCGAAAGCTGCTGAGCCGAGCCGCAGGGATGGGGAGAGAGAGAGAGCTCAGAAGAGAGAGAGGAGAGAGGAGAGAGAAGAGAGGAGAGAGGAGAGAGGAGAGAGGAGAGAGGAGAGAGGAGAGAGGGGGAGAGAGAGAGAGAGAGAGAGAGAGAGAGAGAGAGAGAGAGAGAGAGAGCGGGCGGAGGGCATGACCGAGCGGCGCGATCCTGGCCGGCGCCCGCGGAGCCCCAGGCGCAACTGGTGCGAGGCGGGTGCAGCGCCGCGCTCGGGCCGCGCGCCCCCGGGTGGCTTGGCAAGGCGGGGCGGCGAGTGCGCGGGGCCGGGCCTTTGCATGAAGCCGCTGGACCCCTCGGAGCAGCGGCAGCAGCGGCGCAGGCCGGCGGCGCGCGGTCGGAGCCGGGCGGCCCCGGGGTCGGCGTCCCGGCGTCTTCGCGGCTGCGGGCTCCCCCATGGGCCGCCGCTGAGGCTGCCCGCGGCCGCGGGGCGCGGGGCGAGGGGCGCGGTTGAGACCGGGAGGCGGCGGCCCCCGAGGAAGCGCAGGAGGCCGGGCCCGGGAGGCGGGCAGCGCCGCGCCGCAGCCCCGGGCTCGCCATGCTCCTGGCCTCGGCCGTGGTGGTGTGGGAATGGCTGAACGAGCACGGCCGCTGGCGTCCCTACAGCCCGGCGGTGAGCCACCACATAGAGGCGGTGGTGCGCGCGGGTCCCCGCGCCGGGGGCAGCGTGGTGCTGGGCCAGGTGGACAGCCGGCTCGCGCCCTACATCATCGACCTGCAGTCCATGAACCAGTTCCGCCAAGACACGGGTGAGCTGCCCACATCCCCTGTCTGTCCCCGGAGCTTCCGCCTGGCGGGTCCGCCGTGACCCACCCAGTGGGCAGCTTCGCTTGCTGGTGTCAGCGGTAGAGGTTGAGGGCAGGTGCTTCCCTTCCCCAGAGCCTCTCAGGATCCCGAGACCACCTCCTAGTAAATGTCCTTGCAAGTAGTTTTAAAGTGTCTTGGCTATGCAAACCCGGCTTCAGCCCGGCTGCGGCGGACCCCTTCATGCCCCTTCAGCCCCTAGTGGCCCTTTGTGCGGGAACTCTAGGGCTTTGCAGCCCCCGGGCAATGCTGACTCCCCAGCCAGATGCTCTTTGAGCCCCTGGCTGCTCACACCTCAGCTGCCCCTGCTTTGCCTCAGGCACCTTTGGGCCTACCATACACCTCCACCCCCTTCAACCTTACTGCCTCTGGCCTTCTTCCATAGACCCAGCCTTCCCACTGCCAGCTCCTGGGTGTGGGGCTTGGAGAGGCATAGGGGTTCCCAGTCTCTAACTGCAGTCAGTGTGTGAAGGTGCTGGGACATTGCTGGGAGAGAGAGTGGGCCGGGGGTTCTGGGGCTGGAGCACCCTGGATGAGATGGCACCCACAGATGCCTCTGCACTCCAAGCACTGAAGCAACAGGCCAGAGCAGATGGAGAGAGGAGGGGGAAGGCCTGGGCTCTGGAATGCCTGGCAGGGAAGCTGCTCCTTTTGTCCATGAAACAGGAGGACAGACAACCGAGTGAACATTCTGCCGCATTCGCCAACAGCCTGCAGAATGGAAGAATGTCTCTGCCATCTATACCTCGGACAAGAGATTGACATCTAGAATATATAAAGAACTGCAGTAATTGACCCCCCAAAGGACCACTCAGTAAATTGTCTAATGAAAAGGAAGACACAGTTCTCAAAAGAGGAAACACAAATGGACACAGAGGATTTAAAAAAAACTGTTCAGCATTCTTATTTACTAGGGAAACGCAACTTGAAACTGTTTGAGGCTTTGTCTCACTCCAGTGACAATTATTACCATAGAGAAAAGGGAGAACAACAGCTGCTGGTGAGGAGACGAGGAAAGGGGAATGCTGAGCCCCTGGTGGAGGCAATGCCACCTAGTACAGCCCGTCTATAAATTAGTGTGTTTCTAAAATAAAAATCAAATAAAAGTAGAACTTTCCTGCGATCGAGCTATGCTGTTTTTGCGCATATACCCAAAGAACTCTCTATCCTACTACAGAGAAACCTGCACACCCACACCTGCTGATGCTCCCTTCAAAGCAGCAGAGGAGTGGAACGAGCCTGGATGGAGCCAACGGAGGAAAACGCGGTACATATATACAGTGGGAATTTCATTCCGCTGTAAAAAAAAAATGAAGTAATGTGCAGGAAAATGAATGAATATGGGAATCAGCAAACAAAACAAAACAAAACAAAAACAAAAACAAATCCAGATTTAGACAGAAGGCACATGTCTCTCTTATCTCTTCCCAGCTTATGAAGTCTGTAAGTATATAAGCTGGGGTGAGTGTGATTATAGGCCCCGGAATCAGAAAAGAGAAAATGAGGAGATAAAGAAGTGTTGAGGTCGATGCGTAGGGAGTGTTGGGGAATAGTGTGAGGAAAGGGAAGAGGACACATTCAGTCCTGATGCAACTTGAAGAACTGGGGTGGGTGGGAAAAGGAGCCCCTCTTTTCTGAGGAAAAGAGGAGTCAAGGAGGAGGGAGAGAGGGTGGGCCTGGGAGGGGAGGAGGGAAGAGGCCACAAGGATATAAAGTGAATAAAATAAATGAGAAAAAGGTGTTGAGGAAGCAGTAGGAAGCACAATTGATATGGATGTGAAAATGGAGTGTGTGTGAGGGTACGGTGAGGGGTTGAGAGGGTGAGGTGGAGGAGAGACGGGCGAGGTGATTCAACACAGGGGCACAATAAAACTTAATTCTGCGTGTTACTTGTTAATTAAAAAAATAAAACTACAGGGGTTGGGGAGATGGCTCGGTGGTCTTTTCTTCCAGAGGACCCCGGGTTCAATTCCCAGCACCCACATGGAGTTCACAACTGTCTGTCACTCCAGTTCCAGGGGATCTAACAACCCCACAAGACATGCAGGTAAAACACAAATGCACATAAAATAATAATAAATAAATATATACAAAGATGCCTCTCATGTTGGTCTTTTTTTAATAATAGTAAATTTTGAAAGCATCCTTTCAAATTTCCAAAACAGTTTCCTTTCTTCTACTGCAGATGTCTATCCGGTTTGCCCTCTTGAATGAGGATTAAACATTTTCCCTAGGGTCCTTGTTTATCTTCTTTTACAGAGGGATTCTGAAAGACTCCACCCAGCAGGGTATTGAAGCAGATGCTGAGACTCACAGGCAAACTTTGGGTGGAGTGCAGGGAATCATATTGAAGAAGGGGGAGATAGAAAGACCTGGAGGCAACAGGAGCTCCATAGGGAGACCAACAGAGCCAAAAAAATCTGGGCCCACTGGGGCCTGCAGAAACTAATGCTCCAACCAAGGACTATGCATGGCGGGTACCTAGACCATACCCTGCTCAGATATAGTCTATGGGCAGCTCAGTCTTAATGGGGGTTTCCTAGTAAGGGGAGCAGGTGCAGTCACTGGCATGAACTAGGTTGCCTGTTCTTTGATCAACTCCCCCTGGTGAGGTGGCCTCACTAGGCTGCAGAGAAAGAGGATCCAGACAGTCCTGATGGGACCTGATAGGCTAGGGTCAGATAGTAGGGGAGATCAGTGGTCTAGGGGAAGGACATGGGGGGGGGATGGTGGGACCAGGAGGAGATGAGGGAGAGGTCAGGATACAAAGTGAATAAATTGTAATAATAATGATAATAAATTTCCAAAACAGGAAAATGGTTAAATAAATCATGGAACTTCTGTATCATAATTCTGTTAGGCAAGCATTGAAATTAACTCTAAAATTTTTTTCTTTCCCTTCCTTCTCTTTCCTTCCTGCTCCCCTCTTCTCCCTCTCTGAGACATAATTGCAAAGTTTTCAGTTAACCCTAATACCCAGACTTCTTGCTAGATGTTATTGTTCTGTGGCTTCACTTAAGGGGTATCAGCATCTAATTTTGAACCCAGAGGGACTGACCTCAAGGTTTTTGTGATTCAGAGGAATTTTTTAGTGTTCATAGTGATGTGTAGAAGCATAACTGGGAAGCCATCCACACTTTGCTCTGCTAAGGATCACATGGTAAGTGAAGTGTGGAAATTGCTGCTCTTGCCTGTGTTTTCTGGACCCTACCTGGCACTAGCAAAGCTGAACAGCTTGCAGAGCACCTGCCAGCAAAATGTTGACTAAGTTGCTCAGTTGGGAAGCTTACACTTGAGAGATGGTTGCTGGTAGAGTGCTTGCCTTGTAATTACAAGGACCTAAGTCCTGATCTCCAGCACCCAGTTAAATGTGAGACACAGCTGTGCATGCTTGTTATCCCAGTGGTGGGAAGAGGAACACAGGAGGAGCTCTGGGGCTTGCTGGTAGAGAGCCATTGAGGAAGATCTCCAACACTGACCTCTGGCCTCCATATGTATGCACACTGGCATGAACACTTTCCCCTGTGCAGCCCACATAACATCATTTTAACTCTTATAAATGTGCAGTGTAGTAGTGTCAAATGTATGCACAATATTTTGTGGCTACCCCCCATCGTCTACACCCCAAGCTATATCATTTTCTAACATGACCACCTTCCCTTCTAAACAATAACTTCTAACTTCTTCTTTGTAACCTCTATTCTTCCTTCTGTGTCTGTTCATTTGCCTCCTCGATGCAGGTCTCCTAAGTGGAGTTATAGGATGTTTCTCTCCTGTGTCTAGTTTATTTCATTTAATATGATTGTATATTTACCCTCACCCATATTATGGCACATATGAAACTTTTATGCCTTTATGGGCCAAGTAATATTTCATGGCATGTGTATACCACACATTGCCTTGCTCCTGGTCAGCTGGCTTTGCAGCTAAGTTTCTGAGTGACAGTGGGATTTCTGGGGGCAGGAAGTTATCCAGTCTTTTAGAAAGCAGCCTCAAATGTACACTGCTAATTTCAAAGTTTCTGAGTTGATTCTGGAACAAGGACCCCAGAGGGAGGGGCCTGATCTCACACTGTTTTGAGTTTGCATAGCTTGGTACACATGTTGTAAAAGCTTCCACTCAACAGCTTCCTAGAAACCGATCAAAGTACCCCCCAGTCAGTGCACTCTGAGGGTTGGTCTCATTGCCACCGTTTACTGCCGTTGCTTCTCCAGCCAACATCTGTAGAGGGTGAAAGAGGAGACGGCTTTGCAGGTGAGGACAGGGCCAAACTGACCCTCGGGGCTCCTCATCTTCCTTTGGCTTTCTACTCAGGGAGATGAAGCAAAATATTCCTATTGGATGTGGATAGACATTATTAGAGCTCACTGATTATGAAAATTATGTTTGATGGGAAAAAGGAAGTTTTTTTTTATTTAGTGAAACTTAGGCAACCATCATATCCTGAGCAGTCTGCTGGGATCTGTGAGGGATTTTTGATTGATTGGAGGCAGGGCTTACTATGAGTTGTCAAATAATAAGAAACTGAAAACTTGCTATTTTGTAGGTCTGTGACAGAAAATATAATCGAGACTAGGAGGAAGTGTGCTAATTCAGGTGGAATTTATTTGTGTGTGTGTGTGTGTTGTATGCAAATATTTTATAATACACTAAGGTAGTCAGATTTATTTTGATTACTAATATCCAGATAAATGAGTCTCTCTACCTAAAATCACTAAGGTACTAACCCTCAGAACATGTGAATTCAAAATCATAGAAAGATATTTATTTTAAAACCTCATCTATACTATATCTATATTACTAAGGATTCTATTTTTAAAATGTTTATGTCATATCTATGAATGTACATAAAGGAAGACATGTCTGTGTTTTGTATAGTCTTTCATGGGGAATTTTTCTTCATGAATTGTTTTCTTTGGATAAATTTCGGACATTGAAATGGTTTCATAAGGAGTTTCCAAATGCCGTTTGCAAGAGGACTTTGCCCATGGCCAGCCCTGGCAGCTCAGTAATGTGTGCCTGTTCCCTTTCTCCCAATATTAGTTGAACAACATGTTTCTGTTTTAGGATGTGGGTGACCACGTGCAGGAGCTGGTTTACAGTGTGCTCAGCAGTTCTCACAATTATTCCTGCAGTGGTCTGATATCAAACTCCAATTTGCTTCTTATTTGCATTCCATTTCTGAGTTGTTTCTAGCTTAAATGTCAAACTGGCCTCCTGGAATGATACTCTTCTACTATCGTGAGGCCTTCTGGGACTTGGAAACGATGGCATCTGGTAAAAATCCCCATACTCTTCAATAGTTGGCCATCAATAGCTACTTTGTCTTAGATGTGTTGGGTTGCTCTAACCAAACTCCACGATAGAGCAGGCTTATTAACAGCAGCAGCTTCCTTTTTCACAGTTCAGGATGCTGGAAGGTACAAGATTGCAGAGCTAGCAGTGATGTTATAAGGGAACAATGTATTTTGTGATTCAGTAATGGGGTCTTCTTTGTGTGTCCAAATCCTTGTGACCTAATCCCAAAGTCTCACCTCTCAGTATATAAAGGATGGCTATTACGATTTCAACATATAGATTGAGGGAGGTCATAAGTATTTGTGTTGAATGAAGAATGAATCCTTACACCAAGTGAAAGGAGCAAATAAATGCTTGCATAAATGTAAATACTTCACAATTCTTTCATTTAATAGATATGACAGAATCGTCATTAAATAAAACTTTATTTTTGTGATTTATTCTACTTTTTATATTCATGATATCTAAGCCATATTTCTGGAGGCCAAAGTTAATATTATCCAATAGTCAGAGAAGTCAATGTCCTATATAATATGTTGGTTCTCATTCATAGGTCTGTCCAGTTACAAAAATTTCACAATCTGATAACAAATTACACTTTTTGAAAGGAAAGTATCAGCTCAGGATTCCCAAGACCAAATTCTCAGACCAAGTTCTCGTCACAAAGATGTATTTGCCACAGAGGGACAAAGCATAGGGATAAGGGACAAAGACAGGAGACAGAGGGAGAGGGAGAAGTGGGGCAAAGGAGAGGGCGAAGAGGTATTTGTTCCAGCGTAGGACAAAGAACTGCTTCTGGATAGAGAGGAGACAGATGTGGCCCATAGGCAAGTGACAGTTTATAAAGTTAAAACGTTTCTGCAATTGGGATGTATTGTATGAGAGAAGAATACATCCTCTTTTAGAAAAGATCTCTCTTTTCTATATAGAGAGATTAAAACTAAGTGAAAACACTGTCATTGCCATATGTAATTGGTTAGCAAACATAGATAAAAGGATCACACGTGGAAAATTCATTAGTCCAAACATTTCCCAACACACTAAAGCAACGAGATAAAACAAAAACAAAAACAAAAACAGAGTGAGATCTTTGGTCACTGGAGCCAATAGAAGCAAACTCATCCTAGCACTGTGCAGATATGTATTCTCCTTGATCATCCAAAAGAACCGGTGTTCCAGAGGGTCAAACTAAGGCAGGAAAGTCTGTGAACATAGTGACCAGAGACCTAGAAGGCAGAGTAAACAGAAAAGGAGCCAGCTGGACTTATTGCCCAACTGCTGCTAAGTTAGTTCATGGACATTGAAAATAGCTCAAGAGCCATTTATAATTGCCAGGGAAGTGGAAGGAACACAGAGAGAAATGATTTAGGACAAATGTGGTTTTGTCTTTAAAGACTGAGTTATGCAAACTCCACACCAAAGTCTAGCTGCTATTCAAGTCCAACAGGATGATTTTTTTTTTCATAATTTCTCACAAGATACGCAGTGGTTCCATGGATCATAGAAACTAGCATATTTTCTAACACCTTGCCCTGCTTAGTGGTTCTCGTGCAGACCTCTCAAGGTCCCTATAAATATACGTTAAACATCTGATGAAATCCTGCGACTCAGGCAGAACACTTGACATGGTCATTGATGACAAGTTTTGTTCGATCATTTCACTCAGTGTGTTATATTTTCCAATATTTGATAATTTTAATTTGACATATTGGATCAAAATGCAGAAATACTGCTTTGCATTACTTAGGTCATACACAGTGTGTACACAAGACCCTTAGGTTTATTTCAAGATGGGGTAAGATTCAAGAAAATACTAGAACTGGGCAAAAGGTAAGTGAATAGATTTCAAACGCTACTTTGTAATAGAACAAATAATAATGACATTTTCATGTAACAGAAAAAAAATTCCATGTTGAAAGCTATTTCAAAATAGAAACAGGGGATAGTGAAATGGTTCGGTTGGTGAAGGTGCTTGCCACCAAGCTTGATTACCTGAGTTAAGAACTTACATGGCAGAAGAAGAAAATTGACACCCAAATGTTGTCTTCTTGACTTCCACAGGTGAACATGACATGCACCCGCCCCCAAACAATAAGTAAATTGATTAAAATGATGAAATCTATAGCAATAGCAGTTGACTATTTGTCATGGAAATTTAGCCTTATGCAACCGTGTGGTGCTTAATTGTTTCTTCTGGCTTCTTCATGTCTGATGCTGGATAGTGGAATGCACAGGGAAAGCACTTGGGAAAAGGGATGGACATGGAGTAGGAGAGAGTAAGAGTAAGAGCAAATAAGAACACAGAAGGGATAAACAAATCTCATTGGTCCTTGCTGACTCTGGCTTCTTTGGCAGTATCCTTTAACTTCCTCCTTAGTGGAGTTGAACACACATATGGCCAAAACGACAGGGAAGCCAATGATACAGATTTGGGAGGAGAGTGAAATATTTGTCAGCAATCTACTGCTTTCTGAATTCAAACAAGTTAAATGAACAAACAATAACAAATAGCAAAAAACAACAACAAAAAACCCAAAACAAAATAACAAACAAACAAACAAAAAAACCTTGCTGTTCACAATTTTAGCTCCAAATATCTCTCCTTGGAACTAGAGGGATGGCTCAGTTGCTTAAGAACTTGCTGAAGAAGAATGAAGTCTTCAGATCCCCAGAGCTCATATAGAAAGCCAGGCACAACAACATGCATCTATAATCCTAGCACAGGAAAGGAAGAGAAGGGGAGTCAATGGAGCACATTGCTGAATTGATGAACTTCCTTATACATCTTGTTTCAAAAAACGAGGTCTGAGAGCTGGAGAAATGGATCAGTGGATAAAGAACCTACAAATGCAAGCACGAGGACCAGAGGTCATGTTCCCAGAATTCACAAAGCAGGCACTTAATCCTAGCATGCCAATAGAAAAGTGAGACGTGGGGACAAGCGAAACCCTTGAAGCTCACAAGGCTAGCCCAGCAGATGCCACGGGAAGAAGCCAGAAACCCTGACTCAAACGAGGTCTCTGGGCTCCACAGGTACTTGTGAGCATGTGCATACACGTCCGCACTGTGCCCACATGTACACTCACACCCATGAAAAGAAAGAAGGTAAGGTTGAGAAACGTTGCGGTTACTCGGCATCCCTCTCTGGTCTCCGTGCGCACCGGCACACACGTACAATGTGCGCGCAACCTCTTCTGTGGTCCACTCTAGTCATCAAACTTCAAGGAAGGAAGGGGCTTTCCAAGTAGTTTTGTTCAATCCCAAAATAACTAATTCGTTACAAAAACATTCGGTATTCATCCATGATTTAACATGTGAAAGGATGGTGAATGGATGAACATACAGACACTGGGTTCTCACGCTAGTCAGAAAGTTAATTTTTACTGAGGCTATTAAAATCGCTGTATTTTTTTTTAAAGAAGAAGTAATAAAAGCTTGGGTAAGGAGATGAGAATTTTTTTTTTTTGTGCAGGATTATTGTAAAATAGGAGGAAGGCACGACTGAAAAAGAGGCATGTCAGACCCTAGGAGCTGCATCTGAAAGGTGCAGCTCCTCCCCTGCAGTGGAGAAAACAAGCCCCTGGAGAGTCTTCACGGCGAGAACGAGGCTTCTGTGTGTGAATGTTGGCTCAGGCTGAGAGTGGGCCAAAGTTCAGTCATGTGATGAGGGCAAAATTAGCAATTAGCTGAAGTTGGGTCAACTTGGTTAATCTTCTTAAAGATTAATGAGGATGAACAGTTTAGATGTTTATGACAAAGAAATAAGCGGAGTCAGAGAGAACTTTGGGCAGGGACATGGAATGGGCAGCAGCGTCTGTTATGGATCAGAGCACATTTCACCCCTGAGCTCTGCCTGTTTCAGGGGAAGCTGTGCACCAACTTTGGGAAAGGTGCTGTATGCTGAGCAGGGGGAATAGAGAAATTTGATTTGTTTGGTTAGTAATTACTTTCTGATTGATTAATGAGTTCAGCTTATCCTTTATGAAGCAAAGAATGGAGCTTAGGAGGGTCTGTATTTATCCCCCGTCCTGGGTGAACAAGGAGGGCACATGGAAGACACACATGACATAGGGAAGGATGGTCCTTCTAGTGGGATGTTTACCGAATAAAAGTTGGGTTGGGAGGATTTCTTCAGCCACTGTATTTGCTGAGTCACAGTGTTTGGATGAAATTCAGCATTGCCCATTCTTTGGAAAATTGATCTGTTAAGATATATTTTGGCCTTAACTGTTTGGTCCACCTTGGTAATGAGCCCTGTTATGTTTCCCTGTGAAGAGCTGAGGCTTCAGACTTCTGTACAAATTAGTATATAAATATACTAACGGTTTCTGATTATGGATGTATAAATATGTGTTGATGATTTTGGAGAAAAGCCAATGAGACTCTTGCATCATACAATGATTATGTAAGATTGTGCATTCATTTTTGACAAAAGATAAGCAGTTATTTACAAGGTCAAATACATATCATATAACTCTGGAAATAAAAACATGCTCACGTATGTGTACATTTACTAGCATAATAATTTTAGTAGTAACTGCCTATAAACCATAACAGACCATGTGTATCCATTAGAAGATTAAAGGATAGAAAAACTCTGATTCATACATACATGACTTCCATTCCCTGATAATTAAATGTACTCTTGAAATATAAAAAAACAACAACTTGTATTTGATGATTTTAAAAGTGTCAAAATATATTTTAATATATCATATATTGAAAAATACAACACAATTCCAGTATAGATTTAATATGTAGATAGTAAATAATTCCATTTAATTGACATTTAATTGAAGGAAAATTTTAGAGTCAGAAAATTACTGATGGTTTCTTGGGCCAGAGAGTCAGATAAAGAACTTTTTGGAGATTAAACGAACATTTTGAGAGTGTGAAAATGGTTTGCATTATTATTATAGTGCTACTTATACAAATATAGACATTTATAAAAACTCAAAATTATTCACTGAAAATTTGTGAGTTTTATCATACATAAATTATTGCTAATTCTTCTATGTAGCAAATAAATGGGTCAAGGTTAAAGAATATTTGTCATCTATCGATCATCTATCTATCCACTGTCTATAGCTATTTATCATCTATCTATCTATCTATCTATCTATCTATCTATCCATCCATCTATCATCATCATCTATCTACCTACCATTTATCCATCTATCTACCTATCGGTCTATTTATCTATATGTAAATTTCTAAGATCATTCTAACACAGTCAACTCTGGTAATGGTTCACTATAGCATCATCATAATCTATACAGAAGGACTCAGAGGAAACACCTTTTGTTTTTCTTTATTTGTTGCTGATATCAAGAAAAGACGTGCTTCATTTAGTTAATAAGATAGGCTGAAAGATAGCGAGCAAGCATAGATCTGGGTACTTTGCTGTAGACTTAAAGGCTACTGTCTTTTTTACCATGACCTCATTTAACATGTGCCAGTGACACAGATAACCCATCCCATCTTAATCCTCTTCAATACTATATTGTTGTTATTTGTATGCCCAGATATGACCATATATATGGAAATTTATAAACATCACCTGCTGAGTTTGTATAGTTTTGTTCACATTTGTTTAGGGCTGACCTCTTGGGATTGGATAACGTACCAGAGGCTCATTACTGGAGAAGACTAGTTCCTCCTCTCTCACCAGCCATTGATCATCCATAGAGTTTCACCTAGGGTAGAAGCCTTGTGAGAATTCCTCTATCCACGTTGGCATGTCAGTTGGCATTGCCATTTTTTTCAGGTCTTGTTTTGTTAATCATATTGTAGAGATTTCCTGGGTCTATTCCCTGTCAAATATGGTCTTTGTTAGTGTTCTGTTGCTATGAAGGGACATCATTACCATGGCAACTCTTACAAAGGAAAGCATTTAATTGGGGCCTTCTTAGAGTTTCGGAGATTTAGTCAGGGAGCACGGCAGCTACAGGTAGACATACTGCTGGAGCAGTAGCTGAACGATATACAGCCAGTTCCACAGGAGCAGGAACAGGAAGACTAAGCCACGCTTGAGCTAAGCCTGGCTTGAGCTTCTGAAACCTCAAGGTCCACCCCCAGGGGCATACTTTCTCCAAGGCCATACCTCCATATCCTTCTAAATAGTACCACTCTCTAATGACTAAGCATTAAAAAAAAATGAGCCTATGGGGGGGGGGTTATTCTTATTCAAACAACCACATATATAGAAGACACTATCTCACAGCAGATGTATTGAACATTTCTTAATTCTCTCTTTAGGATAGCTGCCACGATGCTCCATTTGCGAGGTTCACAGATGCTGCAGACATTGGAGAATTCCTTGAGGAAATGCCTTCCTGAGTCCTTAAAGGTAAATGTGGAACAGTCTCAGGGTAAATGGACTATTAAGTGTCTAAGAAAAAGGTGGAGAAGAGAAAGAACAGTTGCTGAGCCGTATTCTGGGTCAGGTATTCATGTTGTGGCCTAATATTTAGTTGCTGTCACCCCAGGGCAAGGGAGGAATACTCTACACATTTAACTAAAGAGGAAAGAAGAGCCCAGTTATGACAGAGCAGGACCACACCATAGTGAGTGTCATTGTGACAACTGGATCTACATGATCTTTGCCAACTCAGGGACGGTCCCTTGTGCTCACACAGGAACTGTTTTATATAACACTGGGTATTTCCCAGCGTTGCAAGTTGATGAAAACCAGCGCATTAATGTTAACTACTTCCTAACCGATCACATGTCTGACAAGAGGTTAACCAGATGATTCTTTCTCAAAACTAATACCGAACCAATCCCTGTTTTGCCAGTTCTCAAAGAATTACACATAATTTGGGTGAGCAACAAATTATCTTCTTCCCTTTATTATTTATCTATATTAAAAATGGACTAGAATATTACTAGGAATATAAAACCTGCTGGAATTTACACTCCTAGCAATGAAGGCTCAACCCCTGAGAGCAAAGCTGGTGGAACGGAAGAGAAACCCACAAGTATAATTAAGGTTAATTCTCTTCTTTCCATCATTTATTTATGTGATTGGAAGTATATAAACAGACTCCCCAAGAAACATTAGGAGCTCACTGTATATTAGCTGCCACTTAAAGAATCCTTTTTTAATAATCTTATTTATTTATTTATTTATTTATTTATTACAATTTATTCTGTTTTTATCCCCACTTCAGCCCCCTCCCTTGTCTCCTCCCAGTTCCACCCACCCTCCCTCTTCTGCCCCTATGCCCTTTCCATAGTCATCTGATAGGGAAGGACCTCCTCCCCTTCTATCTGACCCTAGCTTAAGAATCCTTGACAACAGCAGAATCCACATTCTGTTCAAGTGTTCATAGAATATCTCCAAGACAGATGACACACACACACTCTAGAATTTTAAGATTATCAAAATCATATTAAATGTGTTCTCAAAAGTAATGGAACTTGGGTCTGTGGAGATGGCTCAGAGGGTAAGAGTGCTTGCTCTGTGTGTGGAAGAACCTGAGTAGGAAATTCCTAGCACTCAAGTAAAAAGCCAGGCATGGCCATGTACTCCTATATTGCCAGAGCTCTGGGTTGTAGAGCTAGGAGGACCACTGGGACTTGCTATTTCATAGTAGTTCCAGATTCAGTGTGATACCCTGCCTCAGGCGGACAAGGTGGAGAGTGACAGAGCAGGACACCCAACGTCCTCTTCCAGATCTCTCACCTGTGCAGACATGTGGGCTTGCATATATGCACATATGTCACTCAAGTGCACATGCATACAAATACACTCACGCAGAATTAAAGGTAAAATTATACATCGTACCTGGAAATCCTCAAATTTTCTGCAATTGATAAAAAAATTTAAATAAACCATGCTTCAAAGTGAGAAGGAAATTTTAGACTAAGTTAATTGACTGACGGTGGAGGTGCAGCGGCAACTGAAGCACTGGTTAGTGGGAAGCACACAACATTAACTAACGTCTTTTACTTCAAATCCTAAGAACCAGCTCAGGCGCTCAGTTTGTTTCCACCACAGAAACTAGAAAAAAATATAACAAACAAACTCACTAGCAAACAGAGTAAAGGAAACCGTAACAGGAAAAAATCAAAACACATCTAAACAGAAACAAATGAATCTGAGTGAGAAAAAAAAGAAACTAAGGAAAATCCAATCAACCATTTATGATCTGGTTCTAGGAAAAGTTTATTAATGTTGATAAGGTTATACCCAAATTGGTGTAGAGTAGAGAAGATAAATATTTCCAAAATGAAATATGAGATATCATTAAAAATCCAGTGGGCAGTATAAATGTAACAAGGAGGTCCTGCAATTAGCAAAGTACGCATAGATTTCAGATATGCTGTTGTCATGTGAAGAGAACAAATTGGCAGTTTTTTGAAGACGAATATACAGTTTATATAGCCCTACATATGTATATAAAAAATTTTGACAAAGGAAATGCTTTTGGTAGATGGCTTCACATACAAAATAAATAAATAAATAATGCCAACCACACAGAAAATTAGGCAGATACAACTTCTAAACTCATTTTATGAACTCAGAGTTGCCCTGGTAACAAAACCAAAATTGTACACCAATAGAAAACTATACACATCATTAACATAAATGCAAAAGTCCTCCAAAATACTATCAAGACAGCAAGACATATTTAAACAATAGATTTGACTCCATGCGTAATCAATACAAATCACTATGTCCATACACTACTGATTAAAAAATTATATGATCATTTTTTTGGTTTGTTTTCTGAGAATCTCACAGTGTAGCCCTGACAGCCTACAACTTGCAAGTAATTTAGTCTGGCCTCAAACTCATGGCAGTCTTTTGCTTCAGACTCTAAAATGCTGGAATTACTGCCATAAACCACCATGACTGGCTGTCTTTTTTGTTGCACTTTGAGATAAGATCTCACTAAGTAGTCCAAGCTGGCCTTTAATTCATCGTCATCCTTCCTCATCCCCCTGAGTGCCTAGATCACAGGTGTTCACTACTGCACCAAGCTTGATCTTTATTTTTTTTTATTTTTATTAATTACACTTTATTCACTTTGTATCCCCCCATAAGCCTCTCCCTCCTCCCCTCCCAATCCCACCCTCCCATCCTTTTCTTCACGCATGCCCCTCCCCAAGTCCACTGATAGGGGAGGTCCTCCTCTCCTTCCTTCTGATCTTAGTCTATCAGATCTCATCAGGAGTTGGCTGCATTGTCTTCTTCTGTGGCCTGGTAAGGCTGCTCCCCTCTCAGGGGGAGGTGATCAAAGAGCAGGCCAATCAGTTCATGTCAGAGGCACTCCGTCTTCCCATTACTATGTAACCCACTTGGACACTGAACTGCCATGGGCTACATCTGTGCAGGGATTCTAGGTTATCTCCATGCATAGTCCTTGGTTGGAATATTAGTCTCAGGAAAGACCCCTGTGTTCAAATTTCTGGTTCTGTTGCTCTCCTTGTGGAGTTCCTGTTCTCTCCAGATCTTACTATTTCCCCCTTCTTACATAAGATTCCATGCACATTGTCCAACAGTTGGCCATAAGTCTCAGCATCTGCTTTGATAATCTGCAGAGCAGAGCCTTTCAGAGGCCCTCCGTGATGGGTTTCTAGCTTGTTTCCTGTTTTCTTTACCAGGCACAGAAAAAAAAAAAAAAGGTGGACAAATATAATAGTCTTGATAAATATGAAACTCGGAAAACTAGGAAGGAAGAATTTTTTCAATTTTACAAAAAAGCATGTAGGAGTGATGCACAATTAAGATCTTCCTATATAGCAAAGAAATTGAATATTTTGCTTAAGATGGATAACTAAGCAATGGTATCCATTCTTATTAATCCTAGTTAATGAAAGATTGGTGACCTAACCAGTGTATAAGTCAAGAAAAAGAAATCAAAGTAACACCCAATTGGGGGTGGGGAGGAAGTAAAATAGAGTGTGTTCTCAGAGGTCATGATCACCAAAAGAGTCTACAAAACAGTTTTCTGGATGTAAGTTTAACAAAGTCAAGGATTCGGGATAGTAACAGGTCTCTGGGGTTGTAGGCAGAGCTCATGGTCTCAGATGTTCTCAGTCCTCTGGTTTTCCTGATGCTCCCTGATCCCTACTGGTCTCCAGTGCCTCAGATCTGCTGCTCTCTAATCCATGATGGTCTGGGGACAGAGATGGGTCACAGATCCGGGTACCCTCAGGAAATGGCACAGGCCAGGAAACTGCTGCTCCCTGATCTGTGCTGGTCTCAGGGGCTGCAGATCAGGTTGTGTCTCCAGGAATGGCACAGGCCAGGGAACTGGGGTGTGGGGCTTATAGGGGAAGTGGAGCACAGAGGGTCTTGGGCAGACCTGGCCACTGTTGCTAGCAGGCTGTAGCATGCCAGTAGGTAGGCAATTGGGGGTGGGCTCTAACCTGCTGCAAGTAGCATAATGTATTTGTGTACATTAGCAGTTAATGAATAGTTGGAATCCAAAATTTAAAATAGGTACCATTTATAACAGCACAAAGAAAGCAAACACACAAAAATCCTCCTCCCCCCCAAGCACCAAGCTTCCAAAACAGTGGGCAGTGAGCTCTGTTGTTTTACGTTTCATTTTTTAAACTGCTTGTCTATTTGGATTCTTCTGGACAGCAAGAAGGTTACACTGAGTGTAAGAATGAGAAATATGAATAGCATAACATTCTATTTACTTTCCCAGATGCTCAGACAGCCTGCAGAACTGTCCTTCATAGACTAAACCACATGAGTTTCCTGTAATCCCAAGTCACTGCTCCTTTTGATGAGACAGGGAAGGTATCTGTCAAAATGGCAGACTCCACGGTTCAGGTTTAAAATTCTATAAAAAAAAAAATCATTGTGCAACATTGCAGAAGTTAAACAATGCAAGGAGGCTGGTGTGTTTGCATACAAAATGAGTGGAGTTGACAAGTCATTTTGCTTGTAGTCATTTCCAATCAATATTACCAGTCTCAGGTAGTAGAAAGATATATGTATTGTAGCTGGAAACAGCCTCTCTCTAAACAGTGCATATTGAATAGTTTATCACATGTGTCAACTGCAATTCATCCCAAGTATTAAATATTGGGTAGTTAAGGAACACTATGTAAATTTCTGTTTATTGACATGAATGTATGTCTTTAGTAAATGTAAAATTCATTTTCATTAGGAAATTCCATTGCTTATAAAATTATATAAGCAAATATTTATATGGCAGAAAATAGAAATTTATAGGGCAAAATTTGTTGATGTGAGACTGAGTTATTACTAATTTAATTTATCTTCATATTTAACTGTTATAATAGTCTTATGATTTTGCTTAGATAGTCTATCTACTTTGGAGTTTTAATCAGATATTACTTGAAGATTGAACTAGCTACAGTATGATTTACATACACTAATTTCATAGAAATCAATATCATTTGGTAACAAAAGCAAGGATTTTACTGTCCCTTTGTAAAGATCTGACCATTCAGTTGTTGAAATATTTAGGTTTATGGGACTGTCTTCCACATGAACCAAGGAAACCCATTCAATCTCAAGGCTCTGGTGGACAAGTGGCCTGACTTTAATACAGTTCTTATCCGTCCTCAGGAGCAGGTAAGTTACATCATGGCATGAATATGACTCTAAGTTAACAATTGCTGGTGTGTAACCTAAACCTGGAAATATGTAGCCTCCAAGGAAACAGATGACCCCTGGTGATGACAGGGTCCCTGTTCTAAATGTAAACAAGATGAGCACATGAACTCTAAAATGGAGTTACTTCAAAGAGAGGTAAGAGATGGAGAAAGGAGCATAGGATCAGAACCAAAAAAATAAAGAATAAATGACAAAATGTCAGTCATAAGCTCTTACTTTAATCTAAGTATAAATGGATTAAATGGGGGCTCATGGAGAGTCTGGAGCCTGTAAGGTGCCTGACGTAGGTCCTTTTCATACTATGTTACGGCTGAGTAACTTACTGTTCTTATAGAAATCCTAACAGTTAGAGTGGGGAGCTGGCTCTGACTCTCTTGCCTACTTGTGGGGCCCTTTTCCTCCTACTGGGTTGTCTTGTCTAGCTTGGATGTGATGGTATGTTCCTGGTCTTATTATAGCTTGCTGTTCCGTGTGTGGCTGATGCCCTGGGAGGCAGAAGGGGATGGGTCTGTGGGAGAGAAGAAGTTGTGGAGAGAGCTTGGGGAACAGAAATGAGGGGAAATTGCAGATGTAATATATGAGAGAATAATTAAAAAATCATTTTAATAAAAATTCTCAATCTAAAGATGTAGAGTAGCTAAGTGATTTTATTATATTTTATTTTTTAAAGCAAAAACACAAGACCAAGGTATAGGGCACATACAAAAGACTACACTCACTTTAGAATAAAAATATACTTGATATGAACAAGATATAAAAAAGTTTAAGAGTATGAATACTTTGACACATAGTCAAAATTTTTCACAAGTATCAAGATGGCTATTGTTTAATGGTCATGTGAACACATAGTCACTTAGAATTGAGTAATAGAAACATATAAAGCAAATATTAATGAACACAATGAAAATAATACCTATCAAGTCAATAACTGTAAAAGACATCAATTCTCCACCTTCAACAAGGGGTAGACAGTAAGAAAACGTCAGTAATAAGCTCTTATATTAACCTCAAATGTAAATGGATTAAATAGGGGCTCACAGAGATCTGGAGGACAATGGCTCTGCTCATTAGCTTCAGGAATAAACATTTTATTATTATGTGTTTATGTTTCATACTATCACATGTGCCTTAAACATATACAATAGAATTCCTTTAAAAAATAAACCCACCAAATAGCATACAATATAAAGTAAATTTAAATTTGCTTAAAATATAAAAATAGAATGGTATTTGTTTTTAAAGTATGTTGATAAGATGGACTGTTAGTTGTAATGTTGCCTAGCAGCAAAGACAGTGTGCTAGCCTGCCCTAGCAGAGTATTTGTCCTTCAGTTCCTTTCTTTACCTTAAAAAACTTCCTGCTGTCATTCATTAACATTGAGAAGAGCTTTTTGAATAAATTATGTTGTGATTTTGCTAGAAATACACTTTTTTTTTTTTTTTTGAAAAATGGTGCTTTGTGCTTTAGAGTTTAAAGACATCATGTTTTCTTTTTGGGTGGCTTTATTGTGTATATATAAACATCTGAATACAAGATCATCTTTTCAATTTCAATATTTTAATATTGTCATGTTGAAAATATATGTATGGGCTGGAGAGATAGCTCGGGGGTGAAATGTTTTCTGGGCCAGCTTGTTGCCCTGTGTTCGGATTCTCAGAAGCCCCTGTAAAGCTCTACGCAGCAGTGCATGTGAGTAATCCCAGCATGCTTACAGAGAAGTGGGACTTGTGAGACAGGAGAATTCCTGGAGGTTCACAGGCAAGCTAGTCTTGCGTTGGCATGAGCAATGCAAGGTGGAAGGTGTCTCAAGGTGGAAGGTGAGGATTGGGACTCAAAGATGACCCTCTGACCACGCCCCACATTCCTGCACAAACACACTGTACATACAGAGAGAAAGAAAAAAATGCAAGAGTTTTGAGGCTCTTTGGAATGGGAAGACTTATCTTTATGAGGCCTTTGATGGTATCACTTTTCTTCTTTTTCCTGAGGTTTACTAACTTAGGGAGGAATGCTCCATAAACCATCTTTAATCGATTTAAAATTGTAATGGTACTTGTAGAAAAAACTTGATAAAGTTTAATAAGGACTTTCTCATAAATTGCGTGGAGTACTTCACTTGGTTTCATGATGTTAATAACTGAAGGGTGGTGCTGACATGTGAAGAAAACATCTCTGCTGAGGTTTCAATATTGAGTTTGAAAACTCCAGCAAGGATGGGAAGCAGTTGCTGAAGCTCAGCCCTGGCTGAAGGCGATGTCTGGTGAGGAAAGAGGAGCCGCTGCCAGGCTGTTCCCACATCCATGTTCATCTGGACAGCACTGATTGGACTCAACGGTTATTTTTTTAAAAAGAGAAAAAGAGAGAGAGAGAGAGAGAATGTGAAGTTGAGAGGAAATCTATTGGGAGGGGTCTGGAGGAGCTGGAGGGAGGGAGTGGGATGAATACGACTCAATGCTTTGTATATACCTGAAATTTTCAAAGAATAAATTAAAAAAATAATAGAAAAAAGGAGTATAATGAAATTCTAAACTATATTGAAATTACATGAGATAATCAGTTTCATTTCTTCTACGCTGCTCAACCAAATAGGAGATGACAGACGACCTTGATCCCCACACCAACACTTACCAGATCTATTCTAAGGACCCTAGGAACTGTTTGGAATGTATTGGCAAACCAGATGCCATCAACTGGAAGCAACATCTACATATCCAAAGTAAGGGGACTGGGATGGGTGCTGACTGCTGGGACCTCCTGCATCACATCTGTAGGAGCACTCTCTGCCCTGGGCACCTCACCCTGCAACCTTTTTTTCTCTTGCTACAAACTTCTAAGTTCCAACCAACCGAATATTCCTTGGTCTGTCTACAGTGGAATAGATTTCAAATACTGCAGGCTATGACTTCAACAGAAGAAAGAAGAAACAGTGAACTGAGTAGTATTGGTTAGCCGAACGCATTTTGAAGATATTTTCAGGAGCCCTTCAGAACAACTAGATTGGAGTAGTAGCTTGGTCTCTGGTCTTCTGTTCCTGGTACAAGGATAGTAGCTTATTGTGGCACTGAGCTCCTGCCAGGTCACCTAGGTTTATGTCTAAAATGGTTACAAATATGCCCTCTGGAGTTAAAACTGCAGGGAACTTCCATGTTCTGACTCCAAGTTGTGATTCTTTGGCAGATGATTCTTCTATTACTTAGCATCCTCATATGTGAAAATTTCCGATACTAAAAGATCCTAAAATGTAGAATCAATGAGAGGATTAAATGAGGCATATGATCAATGCCTGTGCATACAGCATGCTCAAACAAGATTGGCTATTATTTTAATGTGCTCTTTCTGTTCATAGAGACATAGTGAGGATTTTAAATATTCTGCTGTACCTTAGGCGGGAGGAGGGGAGACACAGGGCATAACTTAGGGATGGACACACAAGAGACACAACTGAGACAGGGTTTTCTGACTAAATCCTGTGTACATCCCTGGACTACTTCCTTGACTTACATGGACAGTTATTTGTTGCCTGTTGCGTTTCCTTCTAGGTTCACAGTCCAACCTCCATGAAGTAATAATGGGTCTTGCAGCTGCCAAGCTGGTCAAGGTCAAGAGAACACAGTGTGTTCTCTATATGATTCCCCAGACAGCAAAGAAACTGGTTCCTTTCCTGATGGCGGGCACAGAGAAGTTAGATCATAAGTCTGGCAGACCCCGTGCCATGTGAGTTGGATTGAAGATGCTGTTTCACTCAGATCTCTCATAAAATTAGCTCCCTAACTTCTCTGCCTACACAGCTCATTTCTGGGATAACTGTTTTAAAAATATAACACGGACTCTGTGTGTGATCTATCTCCTCAAAGGCCACAAGCAGTTATTTTCAGGTTTTTTTGTCTTGCATATATGTGTATGTTGATGTGTTTATAGGTATGTATACATGTGTGTGGAGGTGAAAGGACCACTTCGGGTACTGTTTCCCTTTGGGCACGGTCCATCTTGTAGCTTTCTTTCTTTGATGGGCCTCTCACTGGGATTTTTCTGATTCAGATTGGCTGTCTGGACAGCCAGGTCCAGAAATCCACCTGTGTCAAGCTCCCCAGGGCTCATTACAGACTTGTGCTTCTATACCCAGTTTTAAAAAAAACATGAGGTCTGGGGATCAGACTGAGGACCTCGCCTTCTCTGTGCAGCAGGCACTTAATGTGATGAACTATTCCCTAATCCTGTCATCGGTTAATTCTCAGCATGCTCTGGTGAAGTTCAAAGTCACTGTGGTTCCCGTAGGACACGCACTTGTCCCTTGTTGGACATCTATCTGCCTCCCACCTGAAGCTCTGTCCTTCTGCTACTTGATTCTCATATGTTCACACGTGCCTGTGGGACACTTGCTTTTTGCTTGTCCTTCCAGTACTCACACATTTTCCTCTCTTTTTTTTTGCTATTGTTCTTCATAGTCTTAAATTTAATTTTCATTGAGACTTCATTTCAGAGCACCCCATCAAAAGCCACTTACATCATGAAAGCTAACTTTCATATCCTTTAATGTACTTTTATTAGCTGGAAACAGCTTATTTTTTAAAATATATCTACCTATGTGTTGATAGAAGCCTCCCTCAATATTTATAATTCCTTAAGGACAAGAATATTGAGTGAGTAAGATGTCTCTGTGGGCAAAGGCTCTTACTGCAAAAGTAATAACCTGAGTTCAATCCTTGCGACCCTCAGGGTGGAAGGAGAGAACCTATTTTTAATGAGTTATTCTCTGATCTCCACACAGAGAGATCTTTCTTTATTTCTTTATTGTGTTCCCAACAATAAAGAAATAAATGTAAAAATTTAAAAAGAGCAAGAATTCTTACTGTATTGTTCAGAGGGTGGGGAGAGGGAGAGAGAAAGGGGAGGGGAACAGAGACATACACAGAGAGAGAGATCCTCAATAGGCAGACCCTCAAAACATGTAGTAAATTCTATTTTTGGAAATGAAAATATAATTTCTCTCCTTTCCTTCTGTGCCTTGCTTGCTCCTCCTCAAATTTATAGACTATTTTTCTTTAACTGCTTTTGTTATACATATGCATGCAGTCACACACACACACACACACACACACACAAACACGCACACACCACACACACACAAACAGATTCCATGATTCTCAAGTTTTGCTTTGCTGCTTGCTAGCATGTACTTTTTAGTACTTATTCTCCATTTGTTCACTTTTCTTGCCCATATGATGTTATCTGGTCTATTTCCAGTGGGAAGGTGGGTCACAGCAGTGTTGAGAACAGCATTGAGTTTTTGTGAAGATTTAATTGCTTAGGTGTCACTGTCCTGGGTACTTACGAGACAAAACCTCCTATAATACTAATTTCTGTCTTCTGACAGAATGGCTCTTGTCTCATCCCTTCTAAAGGGAATGAGGACAGAGAGGCGTGAAGTTTGGTTAGCTGCCTACTGTCACAAGGCTAGCCAGACACTGCTGAACTGGTGCATGCCATCACTGGTGCTCTTGTGCTTCACGATAGTCTTGTGAAGAGGGACAAGTATTTCACACTGTGCATGATATTTAGGGCTGCTCTTTTTTTTCTTTTTTTTTTCTCCCCAGCAATGAAGAGATGTTTAAACTCTCATCACTAGATGTTGCCCATGCTGCCTTGGTGGATAAATTCTGGCAGTTTGGAGGCAATGAGAAGAGCCAGAGATTCATTGGGCGCTGTATCCAGATCTTTCCTAGCTTATGTCTCCTGGGACCTGAAGGGACTCCTGTGTCCTGGGCTCTGATGGACCAAACTGGAGAAATCCGAATGGCAGGCACTGTTCCCGATTACCGGGCACAAGGTCTGATCTCGCACATCATTTATTCGCAGTCGCTGGTTATGCATGAACGTGGCTATCCTGTGTATAATCACACAGAAAGAGCCAACAAGCTCATGCAGAAAATGAGTCACACTCTGCATCATGTCCCCATGCCCTGTAACTGGAATCAGTGGAACTGTGAACCTCTGAACCCTGATGTTGAACGCAAGGTTGTGTTGGGTACACCATAATAAAAGCTTGAGGAATAGATGGTGGACATAGAGAAAAAAAAATTGTAATGAGCAATATAAGAGTGGGCATTGCTTGGGATGTGGGGGAACAGTGTGAATGGCCAACATTATAGCTCAGCCGGTCCCTGCCCTCTTATTACCTTTCAAATCCAGCAGACCTAGCATGGCCATATCTGAGCCACAGACTTTGTTTTATTTTCTATATTCTGAATATCAGTGACATGTCTATTCAGCCACACGTTACTATCCTCATGTAGATTATTGCCCCTGATGTTTTGTCAAGAGGTGGTGCTGCCATGGGAAAAGTGTATGCTTTTCTCCCTCACTGCTTTGTCTCGGAGCTAGGTTTCTCCTCATGGACAGGTGCTTTGAAATGATTGCTTCACTGGTAGTGCTATGATCATTCTATAACAACCATGCTAAGTATTACACGAATAAATATATGATACTAGATAGGTGTGCTATCTGGAAGACTAATTTTTAAGAAAATTTACATGCATCTTAGATGTGTACAACACGAGGCTTTGGGAACACAGAGTAAAAATGTTTTCTAGAGTGAAACAGATTCACAAATCCAGCACCTCACATACTTGCCAAATTTTGATTTGAAATTGAGCTAAAATCTCATTTATTATAAATTTCATGCACAGTTCAATGTTATGGTCTTCATGTTATAAGCAGATCTCTAGATTTTCTTATTAACATGTCTGATAGTTTGTCATCCTCTGGTATAATGCTCTCTTTTTCATCTCATCCCTAACCTTGGTAACTGGCATTTTATTCTCTATTTCTGAATTTTTAAAAACTTTTAAATTCCATATATGCTGTAGTAAATTAAAAAATGAGTGTTGGGCTATTTAATGTTTATTATCAGCCCTAAGATTATCTCATGGTGGTATTATCTAACCTCCTATCACAAATAATAAGATGCAAACACCTGTTAGATTTTATAATTGCCTTATTTATCTTGGACCGGGCAGATATTTCACCTAAACCATTTCAATAACTTCACCATCCACCTCCCAGCCCCCATCCAATGCCATCCTCCTTAAACATCCTCATCTGAGCTATCCTTCATCCATAATCTTATAAATACTTGCTTGTGTTCTTTATCTGAGCCTTTGCATGACATTATTGGAGTCCTGTCTCCGAGCCCACTTGGTTCCTCCTCCACCTAACCCATCATGGAGTCCTCCTCCTTCCTCTCTTCCTGTCCATCTCTTTCCTGTGATTCTCTTGAACTCCAAAGCCCAGAAACCTTAGCCACGGTTACCCCGTTTTGCACTGCCCAGGTATAGCTTTTAATCAACTAATCAGGTAAAACGTCTTAGGCGGGTTTACATAACAAGGATAGGTGTAACCAAATCACGAGGGCTGGTAATTAGTAGCAAAATAATGGAAGGGGAAGAGGACCCCCCCTATCAGGGGACGGGGGGGGGGCAGGGGGGGGAGAGGGAGGAATGGTGGAACAGACCAAACAAGGTCATTGAGAAGGGGGAGGGTGAGCGGGATTGGGAGGGGACAAGGGAGGGAGCTATACCTGGGATACAAAGTACATAAATTATAATAAATTAAAAAAAGAAAAAAATAATAAAGCTTCCGAGCAACCCCCAACACACATATAAGTGAATTTGTGTTAGTTTTTCTCTGCCCAGCTTCTCCCACCAGGTACACCACCCAAGCTCATTCACTTTATGGAAAATGGCAAGAACTTGTTCTTGAGGCTGGAGTGATAGCTCAGAGGTTAAGAATACTGGCTGTTTCTCCAAAGATACTGAGTTCAATTCCCAGCAGCCACATGGTGGCTCATAACCATTTATAATGAGATCTGGTGCCCTCTTCTGGCATGCAAGCAGAATACTATATAAATAATAAATAAATCTTTAGAAAGAAAGAAAGACCTGAAAGGGTCTGGAGCTCCACAAGGAGGAGAACAAAACCAAAAAATCTTGGCCTAGGGGTCTTTTCTGAGACTGATAGTCCAACCAAGGACCATGTAAGGATATAACCTAGAACCCCTGCAAAGATGTAGCCCACGGCAGCTCAGTCTCCAAGTGGGTACCCTAGTAAGGGGAACAGGGACTGTCTCTAACATGAGCTCAGTGGCTAGCTCTTTGATTACCTCCCCCTGAGGGGGTAGCAGCCTGACCAGGCCACAGAGGAAAACTATGAAAGACAGTCCTGATGAGACCTGATAGGCTAGGCTCAGATGGAAGGTGGGGAGGAGGTCCTCCACTATCAGTGGACTGGGGAAGGGGAATGGGAGGAGATGAGGGAGAGAGGGAGGGCGGGATTAGGAGGGAACAAAGGTGGGGCTACAGCTGGTATACAAAGTGAATAAATTGTAATAAATAAAAATTATTTAAAAAAGAACTTATTCTTGTAAAGGATAATATTATTACATTGTAATATGTATTTTTCATGCCATACTTCCTTTATTCATTGGTCCATAAGCAGATATTTAGGTTATTTCCCTATCTTGCTAATTTATGAATAATCTCATAATGAGTTTATCTTTATGAAGATAAACTGGTCTTTATCCTATATATGCTCCAAAGAAAGATTTATAGATAAAATGGTAGTTCTGTTTTTAAAATTCTTTAAAAAGTATCTATACAATTTCTCATAATGTCTGTAACAACCAACAGTCCTACAAAGCATGCAGAACAGTTCCCACTTTCACTCATGTATGCAATGTATAGTGATCATATCTGCCCCACTCCCTCCCTTCAACTGCCTTTGCTCGCCCAACACAACTCCCTCCCAACCATCCAAGAAGTGAAGAGTCTTGTCCAAGGGAAGAGGAAAGTAGACGTCTTCCTTGTCTTTTGACTAGCTACATGTTTAAGTAAGCAGGCTGAAGAAGACAGGAGAGGTCTGCTTCTGAAATTGGGGTATAGGAAGACTCCACTCCTTTGTTGCAGTCAGCCTTTGTGATTTATGTAGTCAAGGGTTTTACCCTGTTGATGGTAACAAAACCATTCATTAGAGTTTTGCTACAGAGAAGGTTGAGGCTGATCACAGGGCTTCAAACTACAAGCGATGTGAATGGGAATTAACGGGCCAAGAAGACTCAGGATTTCAAAAGAAGACAAAAATATGTGCCAACTTGGACCATGCCAGTCCATTGACTGAGGAACACACAAGCTCATTGACCCTCTGTGTAGGCAACAGCTACCTACCGCTTTCTCTGGTCTTCCAGTTTGAGCATATCATCTTTCCTTAGTGAAATCCCTGACTGACTGGATAAATGGTATTGATAACAAGGACCTAGAAACTAGTTTCCTTAATTTCAGATAGTGGAGTCAGGACTGATTTTGACTTCTCAATGACCTTGTTCGGTCTTAGAGAGGTGGAGAGAGTGCTAATATGTTGGCAGTTGAGGAAGAAAAGCCTTTCCCACCAGGAAAATGTAAATCAAAATTACATCAATATTCCGTCTCACTCCAGTCCAAATGTCTATCCTCAAAAACTCAAACAGAAACTTCCAGCAACAGTGAAGTGAGCAAGGAACCCTTACACACTGCTGGTGGTGACATAGACTAGTTCAACCACTGTAGAACTCAATATGGACGTTTCTGAAGGAAATTAAAAACAACTTCCATCTGTCTACTTCTAGAAACACATCCAAAGAATCAAAGCTTACCACAAAGATGCCCACATACGTATTTTTGCCAGTACCTTATTTATAGTAGCCAAGGCATGCATCAGGGTAGGTATGAATCGATGGATGAATGGATGAAGGAAATGTGTTATATACACATACAACAGAGCATTACTTAGTGATAAAAAATAAATTACATTGCATACAGGACAATGTACAGAACTTGGTAGAGATCATCAGTGCAACAGACAGTCACATAAAGATAAATATTTTCCGTCAAATGTGGACACTAGATATGAGTGTAAAATGGGGAAGTATGATAGATTTAGAGGAGGAAAAGGAGGAAATGGGGAGGAGATAAGGATAATCAAGAAGGCAAATATAGCATTCATTTACTATTGCGGAAAGTCAAAATGGATCTTATACATGGGAATATCATAATGCAGCCTCTTCGTGGAATTTTTAAAAAGAATAAAAGATCTCTGGACTGAACACTTTCCTAACTTTACCACAATGGCTTTCAGTTTTTGTCTCCATAAAAGTGAGATTAAGAGCTAGTTGGTTGGCCCAGAGTAAAGATTCCTGCTAGTGAGGCTGACGACCTGAGTTGGATCCCCAGGACCCGCAGTGCAGGGAGAGAACCGATTTCCACAACCTATCCTCTCTCCTCCACACATGCTGTTGGACTCTGCCCCCCCCCCCCCCCGCTGTGTAAAATAAATGAATGTAAACAGGCTTTAAAGTGAGAAGTCCCCACACCAAATCATTGAAAGTTTAACTGTAGCCTTGAAATGGGCAGAGAAGAACCACGGTTTTCACTAAGAAAAATGAATTCTTTTTTTTAGTTAAATTTTTATTTTTTTAATATTAGTTCCAGTTTATTAACTTTGTATCCCAGCTGTATCCTGCTCCCTCATTCTGTTCCAATCTCACCCTCCCTCCCTCATTGTCTCCCTACCCCTTTCCAAGTCCACTGATAGCGGAGGACCTCCTCCCCTTTCATCTGACCCTAGCTTATCAGGTATCTTCAGGCCTGGCTGCAAAGTCCTCCTTTGTGGCCTAGCAGGGCTGCTCCTCCTTCAGGTGTGCAGGGGAGGTCTAAGAGCTAGCCAATGAGTTCATGTCAGAAATAGTCCCTGTTCCCCTTACTAGGGTACCCACATGGATACTGAGCTACCATTGACTACATCCGAACAGGGGTTCTAGGTTATATCCATACATGGTCCTTGGTTGGAGATACAGTCTCATAAAAGACCCCTGTGCCCAGATATATTTGGTCCTTGTGGAACTCCTGTTCTCTCCAGGTCATACTAACTCCCCCTTCAACAAGGACATTTGCTCAACCATGTTTGTAGCAGCTTTATTCGTCATAGCCAGAACCTGGAAACGCAGGTGTACATCAATGGAGGAAGAGATACAGAAATTGTGGTACTTTTACACAATGGAATACTACTCAGCAATTAAAAACAAGGAAATCATGAAATTTGCAGGCAAATGGTTGGATCTAGAAAAGATCATTCTGAGTGAGATATCCCAGAAGGAGAAAGATACACACAGTTTATACTCACTTATAAGTGGGTACTAGACCTATAAGATAAGATACAGATACTGAAATCTGTACACCTAACGAAGCTAAACAATAAAGAGGACCCTGAGTAATATGATCAATCTCATTTAGGCAAATGGGATGGACACTGGATGTAAGAGAAAAGAAGTAACAGGACAGGAGCCTACCACTGAAGGCCTCTGAAAGTCCTAGCAGTGTATCAAAGCAGATACTGAGACTCATAACCAAACCTTCAGCAGAGTACAGGAAAAAGGAATTCTAACACTGCGGGCAAGTAATTTCCCTTTCTGCAGTACATAGAAAAATAGATATGATATTGATCTCTGTGAATCAGACCTCTTTATTTGTTGCTCCTGCAGAAATTTGATGTTAAGAATGGGGAGTAAGAAGGTATTGCCTACTTATCTGCCCCTTTCCACGCTGCTGGCTTACTATATCTTTGGTTTTCATAAGTAAGTGGGCAAAGAGCAAGGTGACGTTCAGAGGGCAAATGTCACCCTCATCTTGCAGAGCCAACTCCTATATCATGCGACCAGTGAAGGAGGAAAGGTTTTGATTTCACTAGAGCTCTCAACCAGAAATTTTTCTCAACGTGCTTAGAGCAAGGTCCATATTTCCTGCCTCAGTTCAGTTAATTTTTGAAATAGAGACACCAAAGCTCATTCATTCTTCAGTTTCCCACTGAGCCTGCTGTACTGGAAGGGACGTTCACCTCCCAGAAGTTTATGTCCATGAAGATTGTTGGAGCAGCTTTCCAGGTGAGGATCTTTAGGAAGAGCAAGTCTGGAGGCCAGATAAAGAACACAATAACTCTAGATCATAAAATGGTTGTGTGTGATCCATCGGCCATGAGTAAATTTTAGCTGTTCTTTAAAAATATCTATCTATCTGTCTATCTGTCTATCTGCCTATCTATCTATCTATCTATCTATCTATCTATCTATCTATCTATCTATCTATCTATCTATCTTCTATCATCTATCTGTCTATCATCTTTCTTCATCATCAGAATTTACCTACTTATTTTTTTAGGAGCATGGATGCTACAACCCACTTGTGAAGGATAGGTAGACAATTCTATAGAGTTGATTCTCTCCTTCCACTTTTCTGTGGGCTTTGGAGATCAAACTCAGATCACCAAGCTTATGCAGTAAGCACCTCTGCCTGCTGAGCCATCTCTCCCGGCCACGGCCATGGTGTCAGCTGTGCTAGCCAAGCATACAAACAAATGAAATTCCCAATACCTATTGACACAATGGACTATGTTAATTGCTTCACTCCACACACCACCCTCAAATTGAACATACATCTATACAATGTGTGTGTGTGTGTGTGTGTGTGTGTGTTATAAGATCATGTGGGGTAACTTAAATAGGCAAAACAACATGTTTTTAAAAGGTCATTGATGCCTTTTAACATTTTCCTTTTCTCAAGCAAATGATGTAAAAATTGATCATACTGTGTGACTCCTGGAATATGTTCCAAAAACGCCTAAGGGAAAACAGTAATTCCACTTGAAGAAAAAAAATAGTATGCATGTATTCTGTAAAATGTTTGTCAAATACAACAAAAAATCTTTAGATGTTTCTTCTGTGCAGTGAGGAAATGTTTGCGTGATTTTTGGAAGTGAGTAAACACAGAATCTACTGGATGGAGGTCCTGTGCCACTGTGGTCAGACCTTCCAGCTGTATTACAGGGTGGGTAGGGTTTTTCCTGCACACTACTGGTAAAAGGGTTATTAAGCTAAAAGTCAGAAATGAAGCAAGAACTCACCCCACAGTGATATTACTTATTAATCAGATAGCAAGCAAATGTTGCAATTTTATTTAGCATGTGCTTGCACTTGCACGGCTTTATAAAATTCTGTTTAAACCTGCTCTGTTCTTTTCAGTTGCTTTCATCAGATTAATTTTTATTCCTGGCATGGCAGGGTCAGCAACTCCAGAGTTCACTTACAAGTTTCCCAGTGCTATTGGCCGCAGTGTGTCTGGCTTCCTGGAAAATCTCCCTATATGTAGCTCTGAATCTCTCCTGTTTATTGGGCACCACACTTGGTTGTTAGCTTCTGAACATTCTTAAAATTGGTTCTAAATTACATCATTCACAAAACTCAGCAATCTGATGTACAAAAGAGTTAACATATATCTGTACTTGCCATCTTATTCTCATGTAACTGCTGATAGAACCTGAGGTGCTGAGGAAGCACATAAAAAGAAGGAACCCTGAGATTTTGGAAGTCAAAGTGAACAGCCTGGCCCGATTCTTTAGTGGTTAAGTCTCTTGGAAACTTCTAGCATTTGACTACCTGGAACATAACCGAAATGTGCTGAAACTGGGTTTCTTTTCTGTCCCTACAAGAGAAACAAGAAGCCATGGTGAAATATGGCATACTATCAACAAGTGTGTGTGTGGGGGGACTTGAAGTGAGAGCTTCGGGGAAGCAATCCAGGTGACTGCTATGCCTCCAGCTTGCGGCCTGCCAGAGTTTAGGGTGATTCTATCTAATACTTTTCTTCATGAAGCACGAGAGTGTAGAAGCTACATCTGAACTAGACATGTTTCCTGGGACGGGACTAATGGCTACTTTTACAGATAATATTTCTTTTGGTCTGTGCTTGAACTTGATATTGGATAGGATGTTGGGTTTATTGCTCTGTTCTTGATCTCACTTCATTATGGCCATATAATGGCCTGTCTGATGTGACTTTTCCTTTAAAACATGTTTTCTCAAATTCTTAAATGTGATGATTGGTGTTGCCAATTGGCAGAAAATACAATCGTGTGGGAGACAGGGCGTGGAATATGCCTGTGAGGATTATCTTGATTATGTTAGTTAGCGTGGGAAGACCCATCTTACTTTTGGATGGGACCATTTCCCCCAGCAGAGAACCTTGGAGAAAGAGCCTGAGCATTTATTTATCCTTCTCTGCTTCATAAGTGTGGATACAACGAGATCAACTGCTTCAAGTTCTCACTGCTGCGACCTCCCCGCCATGGTGAACTGTACCTTGAACAATGAGCCAAAACAAATCTTTTGTTCGTTAAGCTAATTTTTGTTGGGATAATTTATGATAGCAGCAGGAAAAGAATCTAAGATAAGTAAATTACAGAAAAGGAAGCTTTGTTTAGATAAATGATACAGGTGGGCAGAAGCAAGTAAAAGGCCAAACAGATACAGTCTTTCTCCTACCACCCACAGTGGAAAATTTATTGCTTCCTGAGCCTAACAGAAGTCCTTGTGACTGCTTCTGGGTGTCAGCAGCAGCTGTTGAAAAGTCTAGTGTTGAATGAACCTCCACCAAGTTGCTTAGATTCTTCAGAGACACGTGATCACAACGCCCATGCAAAGCACAGCTGTCAACTCAAAGGAAGTAAAAGAGAATTTATTTCAGACCAAATATGTGTCCGTGACCTGGGAACATGGATTCAGGCTACCTCAAATAGCATGTTCTGACAGAAATGGTTTCGTGAAGTTGTCTAGTTATAGGAAAAAAAAAAGTTATAAATCAAGGCAATTTTCAAGTATATGGGTAGAAACATCATATAGGTGGTCGCAGCAAAGTGGGGGCCTCTGTTATAGGTCTCAAATTCTATCTGATACAATCTTAGTTTTTGGGTTGGTGGATGTTACAAACTCCTAAGTTAATGCATTCCCAAAGGTTTTCCTGACAGTGAAAGCATCAAAAGAGTCTTGGATCAGGCCCAGAGGTGAAATGTACGGCTCTAAGGGTTCTGAAGATAGCTAGTGAAAATTTTGGCTCTGAATCTATAATAGCTAGATTCTCCATAGCCATAGAATTCTGATTAGTCACCCTGCCTTGTAGAGTATTTAATGTTGGCACTGCTTATTTCTTAGAACTTCAGTTCACAACTATCCAGCCTGTTCTGGACTTTTGATTTCACTCCATTGATCTATTTGTTTATTCTTATGCCAAAGCACTCTGTCTTAATAATTTAGCTTTCTATTAATAATAAGGCTTACACTTATGTGAATTTCATCACCCTTCCCACAAGTGGAACCTGGGGTGTTTCATTATTGATTTGATCAATTTGAAAATAAATAATGTTTTTTTCAATTTAAATGTGTTTGTGCGTGTGCCACATGTGTGTGGGCCCCTGGGGGCCAAAGGGTCAGATCCCTTGGAGCTCAAGTTACAGGCCATTAATGTGAGTTCTGGAAACTGAATTTGGGCTCTTTGGAAGAACAACTTAGCTGCTGGGCCATTTCTCCACTCCCTACCTTGACAGGAAAGAACTCTGTGGTTCCCCCATGCGCTCCACTATGGATGCTTTCAACAGTCTGCCTCTGACTTCAGTGATCTGCCTCTGTCACTGTTTAATCTGATAGCAATCACACGCTATGCGTCTTTTGCATTATTGCATTGCTTCCATTTCCATGATTTCTATCTTGGTCTTTTAAAAATATCTTTCATTCGAGGTTTGGTTTTTATTTAATGTTTTAGCTAGTGTTCTCTTTTTCTTCTCTCTCTTGCTCTCTCTCTCTCACATGCCACTTTGGCCTCCTTAAACCCAAAGCTGTAAGAATCTTTGCTCTCCCATTTCTATCACCCAGTGACTCAAGCTAGAAACTTCCTTAAAAATCAAGCCAATGCAATTGAATGTGGGAATGAAGTCCAGGGCCTGTTACATGGTAGGCAAGGCACTTTGCCAATGAAACATTCTTCTAGCCTCTTGTTATTTTCTTTTATCCAACACCATAACTCTACTGTCACTTGGCAACTTACATGTCAACCTTCAACACACCCTAGAGTCATCTAAGGGGAAAACTGCCTAGATCAGATCGGCCTGGGAGTATGTCTATGAGTTATCTTTACTGTTAGCTGATGAAGGAGGGCACCCTTCTGTGGCCTCACCCATTCCTGGGCATTGGTCCTGGGATGAATAAGGAAGCATGAGCCTGTCAGCAAGCCAGCAGTGTTTCATCTGGCTTCTGCTTCAAGCTCCTGGTTAAGGTTCTTTTCTGACTTTCTTCAGTTATTGAATGTACCCTGTAAGCCGAAACAAACCCTTTCATTGCTTAAGTTGCTTTTGGTTGAAGTGTTTTAGCACGATGACCAAAATCAGACTAGGACAATATTAAAACTGTGACTATTTCAGTTGGGAAGATAAATCTAGATCCTATTGTCCATATGCAGAAAATCTTTATTATGTAAGAAGTGGGAAATAGTAAGAGCTGGAGGGGACGGGAACTCCACAAGGAGAGCAACAAAACAAGATAATTTGAACACAGGGAACTTCCCAGAGACTCATACTCCAACCAAGGACTATTCATGGAGATAACCTAGAACCCCTGCACAGATGTAGCCCATGGCAGTTCAGTGTCCAAGTGGGTTCCATAGTAATGGGAAGAGGGGCTGCCTCTGACATAAATTGATTGGCCTGCTCATTGATCACCTCCCCCTGAGGGGGGAGCAGCCTTACCAGGCCACAGTAGAGGACAATGCAGCCACTTTTGATGAGAACTGATAGACTAAGATCAGAAAGAAGAGGAGAACCTCCCCTATCAGTGGACTTGGGGAGTGGCGTGCATGCAGAAAGGGGAGGGAGGGTGGGACTGGGAGGGGAGGAGGGAGGGGCTTATGGGGGGATGCAAAATGAATAAAGGGTAATTAATAAAAAATTAAAAAAAAAGAAACATACAGTTTTGCCTTGCTCTGGCCTGGCGCCTGATAGCTCATGCATGGCCAGTTTCAATGCTAATCCCTTCCAGGACTCTTTCTTCTTGTTCTTGCTCAGACACTATTTTTCTCTGTTCTAAATATCACTATTTTATAAAAGAACATGTCAGCATAAACTTCCTTCCCTTTTTACATAGTTATGCTGCTATAGGAGGTTTAGATGGGGCCAAAATGATGTGGAGAGTCAATTTTTAAAACGGTTTTTTTTTGTTATCTGGTAATTTTTAATATTTAATTGATGGATGGATTGTGGAGGTTTCTTATACCCCAATATCTAGCTGAAGTAAAGGGAGAACCTGCTTGTGTAATTGGTTCTCTTACCTTCTACTGTGTGGATCCTGGGGATCAAACTTAAATCATCAGCAAACATCCAAAATCTCAATGAGACATTTTGCAAGTCTTTACATACTATTTTCTAATGCATACAATAGACTCAAGAGTGAGGCTTAGGGAGAGACCTATACAAGAAAACCACAAGACAAGGACAGAATGAGAATAGCAGCTGGAATGTGACTTAGTATAAAGGTTTCTTGTTTATATGTAAAACATATCAAAGTACCCTGCATTAGAACAGTTGCATTAAAGTATCATTCAATTTTAACTCATACGAGGAGAAGAAAGAGGAGGAGGAGCAATAAAATAACTAGAAATAAAATAACACAGTTGGGCACTGTTTATATGACTAACACTCTGCAGAACACAGTGTATGTTAGTTAATCATTTCAGCCCCGCAAACATTCTATGAGCCAGAGGAGGCTATCATCTCATCTACCTTTTACGAAATCAAGGCAAAGAGGCTGGGCAAGTTCCCGAGTTACTGGAGATGCCAGCAGAGACACTGATCCAGTGGAAACTCCAAAGAGTAAAATGCACTTGTTTATGTAAGGTGAACTCAAGGGTGAAAAGTGAAACTGAGAAGCCAGAGAGATTCCCAGTCTTCCTGCAAGTCCTGTGTTTTCTTGGGGCTGGTGAGGATACAGAACTGGCCACTTTTGTTTCTGTCGTTAATGAACATCCATTTATTATTTTTTTCTAGGCTAAAGTGTCCTCATGATTGTCTCACTGAAGGGTGCACAGATGCTACAGATGCTGGAGAAATCCTTGAGGAAGTACCTTCCCGAATCCATAAAGGTGATTTTAGAAAGTGCTAAGGGCAGCAAGGAGAAAACGAATATGAAAAAGAGCTTTACATGTATGCTTCACTCTGTGCGTGTGTGGGCGCATGTATGTGTGGAGTGATTGCTGTGTGTGTGGTGTGTACTCGTAAGGATAGAACATGTGCATCATGAAGAGTCCAAAGGTTGATGTCCAGTGCCTTCCTTAATCATTCTCCATCACACACATATATATACATACATACACACACAAACATATACATATATATATATACACACACACATATATATAATTTTAGAAGTCACAGAACATTTTGATGTCAGAAAAAAAAAGCAATGAAAAAATTCAACAGTGCTCACATTTTATTTTCTTATTTAAATACTTTGCTGAAAGTATGTGCTCAGCACCTCTTTTCCGTATCTACCACCTCTCTTTCTGACCCTCCTACCTCATCCACGTCCCTCCTTTCTTTAGAAAGTTGTTTTTCACTTTTAGGTTATGCATAAGTAAATGCTTTTACAAACAGATGTAAAATCTAGGAACTACAAAGGAGAGAAAACATCTCTTGCTGAACCCGGAGCTCACCAGTTCAGGTTAGTCAGGTTGCCCAGGAAACTTTCCTGTCTGTGCCTTCCAAGCAATGGGATTACAAGCAGGCTGTCAGAACTTCTGGGCTTCTGTGTTACACAGGGGTTGAGCTCTGAACTCTAGTCCTCACCCTTGTGTGGTGAGTGCTCTATTCACTGAGCCATCTCCCCGCCCCCCCCATCTGTTACTATTTTGAGCCAATCCATATTTGATATTTTCCATTTAATTTACACCATATCTTTTCAATGTATTCGCCATATCTGGTTAAGAATATGGAGACATGCTCGGGTGTGATAGTACATACCTTTAACCTCGGTAAAGGTTTGGAGTCAAGAAACAGGTGATTCTCTGTGAGTTCGAGGCCAGCCTGGCATGGCGAGTTCCAGGCAAGCCAGGTATACCTAGTGAGACTCTGACTCCATAAAAATGAATATGGAGGTACAAGTAAGCGATTTAAAATATTATGATAGGCAAGACTGCTCAGGAGACAGGTGGCCTGGAAGCCTGACGACCTGAGTTTGATCTCAGACCCACTCGGTGGCAGGAAGGAAGTAGCTCCTCAGAGTTATCACCTGACCTCATATCAGTGAGCTTTATTAAAATGGGAGTTTTGGTTTTAATTTGATTTGAAGCAGATTTATTTGGGTGGTAAATAACAGTATTGGTGCCCTCATTAGTCTATTCTTAATTAATGAAAATAAAACAATTTACAAGTAAAAGAATGCTAATATTTTTTTTTCATAAAAAGGCAGTGGCCAATCTACTAGAGAAAAAAATTAAATGCATTCATCTTATCTTAAATAAATGCATTTATGAGCCAAGACCTTCTATGTACCTGGTAATCCACAGGAGTCAAAAAAAAAAATCTCTCAGAGAGAAAGCAAATTTTTCTTGGAAATTACATCATTCAACACTCTATGGCCAACTAGCTTAAAAGTTATTTTTATGTTAAACAACTATTTTTAGAAATTCTGAAGGCTAAAACCTTTTTTAAAAAACATACTCTGTGAAACAGAATTTTAAAATATAAATTCTCCATTCCTTATGTTAAAAGTGAATGTCAAACATTTTGAGAAAATTCTTGGCGCTTCTCAGTGCTTTCATTGATCCCGTGGAGTAAGATGAGGTGGCTTTCTCAGCTTCTCAGATTTCATAAGGTAGTGCTTAATTCTTCAGTTACGTACTAAAGGAAATTTGGAATACTCGTAAAGAAAGTTGTTCCCAAAATCATTCATTTTATTTATCTGAATATTTTACTGTATATGTTATGATTCATATTTGAAGACAAAATTTTCATCAACTGAGGTTTAAAACAAGTAGTGCATTGTTCGGCCTAGATTTTTCCTTAGCTTGTTGTCATCACCAACTGTTACAGTTTCATAGGAATGATCTCTGTCTTGACCACAAAAGGTTCTTTTCCATCCCTCTCAATAAACTAACCATCTCATCTCCTTGCAGGTTTACGGGACCCTCTATCACATGATCCATGGAAACCCATTCAACCTAAAAGCCTTAGTCGACAAGTGGCCTGATTTTAACACAGTGGTTGTACGCCCTCAGGAACAGGTAAGAAGACAGGTGTGGAACAAGTACACTTTTCTGGTCATTTATGAAGGCTCTAACGAAGTTTAACCCAGGTTATATTTAGGAATATTTATGTATATACATACACATAGATATAGTAGATATAGTAACAATTTTTAAAAAGAGGCCATGAATTTAAAAGAGAAGTATATGAGAATATTTGGAGGGAGGAAAGGGAAGGGAGAAATGTTGTAATTATCTCAAAATAGAGAGTCGATTCCTTAGAAGGCAAGAGTATAAGAGTATAATGGTATACTAGAGTATAATTCTAGAGTCTACAGTGCTCTGGGAAATTGGGGGTAATAATTGTGCAAAGATACAAAATTACAGTTAAAGAGATCTATTGTACAGCATTGTGGCTAATTACATTTTATTCAGAAAATGGTGAGAAAGATGTAAAGTGTTTATACGGAAAGTTTCACAACCGTTTATTTTAATTAGCTAGGGTGATACCTGTCACAGTGTATATACATACATAGCAATATGTTCCACAATGGCATTTCAGTTTATGGTGGACCAAATGTGTGCCAATAGTCCCATCAAAATACATGGCCTACGAACCCACGAGGGCCAGAGCTTGGGCCCCAGAACTCATGTGAAAAGGCCAGCTATGCTGATGTGTGCTTGTAATCCTACTGCTGGGGAGACGAGGCAGGTGAGCCTATGGGGCTCGTCAGTCAGCCAAGCTACCTTGCTAGGTGTTTTCCAAGGACGATAGACCTTACCTTAGGAGAAAAAAACAGGGATAGCTCTTAAGGAAACACATACAAGTTTCTCTTTTGGCCTTCACAGTGTGTAGCTACACACACAGAATAAATTTCTTAGTACATTGTAACCATTTTTGTTTGTTTGATTACAATCTTTGATGCTTATCCAAAAAACACATCTGCTATCTTCCCTTCTTAGAACATATTGCCGCTGTTAAGCAATGCTTGTTTATACTTCAAGATGTGCATACAATCCACACACAGTTTTATCTATAATTTCAAAACAGCAAAAGTTTAAAAGGGCATGAAATACAAACAAGTAGATTATAAACTATTAGCGTGGATTATGGCTTTAGTATGAAGTAGAGCACCCATAAGCAACTACACTGAAAAAAGAAATTTGTATTAATGGTAAAAGTAGTACTGAAGTAAAATTAATCTTTTGTATATAACCTTAAGCAACAAAATGCATCATGTCATTGCTGACTCATAAATTCACTTTTGTCTCTTTACTTTTCAATTATTCCTGTAAATATTCTACCCTATGTGTAATATTTTCCTCTTCCACCTTGTAAAAAGATAATTTCATCTATTATTTAAAAATGAAAAGGTATCTTTCTAGATATGTATTTTTCCCCAGCTATTATTTGATTAACTATAACAATTCATAAAGTATTTATTATTTATAATCATCTTTTATTACATATAAAGAAATTTTAATTTAGATTATCTGTATCAAATTCAGAGCTAGAATGCTTAGGTTTGTATGTTCCGACTTACACTAAAATTTAGTCTCACAACAGATGCTTTCTTTCAATCTTGCAACAAAAAGCACGGTCTAAATGTCCGTGTTCTTGATTAGAAATGTTAATGTAATATATTTGTAGCAGATAATATTATTTTGGAATGTTCTAACCTAATTTGAATATTTGAACCTCACAGCGTAAATGATTCAGAAATAATAAGATTGTACCAATAAACCTATCACTCTTTCGTTACTTAAAATCATTATAGTATAGAGCAGCAGTAAGAGCACTGGCTGCTTTTTCAGAGGACCTGGTTTAATTCCCAGCACTGACATGATGGTTCATTTCTGCAACTCCAGTTCTAGAAGATCCAATGACCATTTCTAGCCTCCCTGAGACCAAGCATGCATGAAGTACACAGACACTCATGCAAGCAAAACACCCATACACACAAAATAATAAAACAAGATTTAAAGTATTACAGTATAATGGAACTAGCACCACGGTCATAAATGATAAACAATGTATGTGGTCTCTCCTTTCTCTGTAATAACAGGACATGGCAGATGACCTCGATTACTACACAAATACTTACCAAATCTACTCCAAAGACCCGCAGGAATGTCGGGAATTCCTGGGCTCCTCAGAAGTCATCAACTGGAAACAGCATTTGCAGATTCAAAGTATGAGTAATGGGAAATGGACTCACTCCCTTCTGTGTGTTGTCTCACAAGGTCCCCATCCTCCTTCACCAAGTTCCATGTCATCAGCCAGATGCCAATCCTTATATCTACTTGTCAAAAGGAAAATATTAGACGGGGTTCTTCGAAGGAACAGAACCTGTAGCGTGCACACACACATTTATACATAATAAAAAAGGACTTACTAACTTAGCGTCCATATAGTCCAATAGTGGCTAGCTGCACACTGGAGAGGCTGAGAACTCGGTAGCTATCCAATCCACAAAGCTGCAGACTTTGGCAATCGTAGTTTGGTGTGAACAATCTGGAAGGGTACTGGAAGAGTCATGGGTACTGTGCCTACTTTGGAAAGCCAAAGAGGCCGAGTCTGATGTCAGCAGAGGATGGCAACAACAATGATAGATAGCAGACAGTAGGGGGACATTACTTTTTCCTCAGACCCCTCTTCATCTGGCTGCGCATAAAGGTATGAACCGTTTTGAGGATGGGCCCTCCTCCCTCAGTTACTCCTCTTCCAGAGGTATGCTTTTTAGATGGTTCTACATTCTGTCAAGTTGACAGCTGAGACCAACCATCACAATAATTCCTAGTCCCAGAAATGTGCAGCATATTTTATGGATGTGTCCAGAGTACTTAAGGGAAAGTGGGTGCAGGAGTACGGCTTCACCTCTGGAATCCCACTGATAGGTCGTGGGGTCACAGGGCCCCTTTCAGGTCACCGATGACAGCCGTCTTGATGATATGCATGCTCTTTGAGTCAGATTTCCTAAGTTGGTATCAATCTGCTCCTCTCTATCTGATCCTTACGCCTTGGCCTCTCAGAGATCATAGTCTATGAATATAAATATTACTTATAGTGACATTTCCAAAGCACAGGACACTGAAGTTTTCAGCAGGATGAGTTTAATGTAATACTGAGTGTCCTGGTTAGCCCTAATTGCCAACTTGACACAAGCTAGAGTCACTTGGGAAGAGTTGCCTCGTTTGGTTAATTGCCAAGATCAGTTTGGCTTTGTGGGCATATCTGTAGGGCATTGCTGTAATTGTTAATTAATGGAGGAGGGCCCGGGCCACTGTGGGTTGTACCATCCCTAGACAAGTGGTCCTGGACTGTGTAAGAAAACCAATTGAATGTGAGCATGTGAATGAAGCAGAGAGTAAGCCAGCAAGCAGTTCTTCTATGGTTCCTGCCTTGAGTTCTTGCCCTACTTCCTTCAGTGATGGATTGTGACCTAGAGGTAGAAGCCAAATGAACCCAGGCTGAGTTTTGTTATGGTGTTGTGCAACTAGAACCCCATATGAAACTAGAACAGGGGCAGGTCGGTTAATGTTGGCAGAAATAGAAAACTCATAATGAGGTGAATCAACAGTTCAGTTTGGGCTTTGCAGGCAGTTAATTGCTGGTTTCTACTACATTGGTTTATGTATTAGGAATGGATCAGAGGATTCAAGACTTGTTGCTTTACCATAGACTCAGCCACAAGCCTAGATATTGTTTTTGGCTGTCAGTCAGTGCCAGCGGTTGCAATGATGGTACCATGGGTCTCTAGCCAGCTAGCCTAGGCTAGTTTAAATAAAGCTAGTCTCAAAGTAACTAGGATCAAAAGGAGAAAGTCCCAAGGTATAACACTGTTAAGCCTCTCCTTGCATAAGTTTATTCCCATTGGTCAGATGGGGTATAGGAGAGGACCACTCCAGGGAACAGATGCAAGGAATTATGGTTAAATTCCCAATCATTGCTTCAATAATCTCCCAGATGGGACCATGAATTAGAAGTTGAGGATTACCATATTTTATAATTATGTAGCTCATTCCAGTCTTGGTCTACTCCCAAAAATGAGTATCAATTAGTTCATTCCCTTTTATGTTTTCATTTTTGTAAGACAGGGAACATTATGCCAACCAGGACTACATATGGCCACTCATACTGCAGCAGCAGCAGCATGACCCACAATCAAGAAGTTTTTATATGCTGATAACATTGGGTTTTGTTCAACTTGGCATTTTTAAAAATTTTTATTAATTAAACAGTTTATTCACTTTGTATCCCAGCTGTAGCCCCTCCCCCACTCCTTCCCAATCCTCCTTCCCTCTTCTTCTCCTATGCACCTCCCACAGCCAAATGAAAGGGGAGGTCCTCCTCCCCTTCCATCTGACCCTAGTCTATCAGGGCTCATTAGGACTGGCTTCTTTGTCTTCCTCTGTCGACTGGTAAAGCTGCCCCCACCTCAGGTAGAGGTGATCAAAGAGCCAACCCATGAGTTCTTGTCAGAGATGGTCCCTGTTCCTATTCTTGGGGAACTCCCTTGGACACTGAGATGCCATGGGCTACTTCTGTGCAGGGGTTCTAAGTTATTTCCATGCATGGTCCTTGGTTGGAGTATCAGAAACCCCTGGGCCCAGATTTTTTCGTTCTGTTGCTCTCCTTGTGGAGCTCTGTCCCTTCCAGGTCTTTTTATCTCCCCCTTCTTTCATAAGATTCCCTGCACTCTGACCAAAGTTTGGCTATGAATCTCAGCATATGTTTTGATACCCTGCTGGGTAGAGTCTTTCAAAGGCCTCTGTGGTAGGCTCCTGTCCTGTTTCCTGTTTTTTCCCTCTTCTGATATCCATTTCATTTGTCTTTCTGAATGAAGGTTGAGCATCTTACCAGGGTCTTCCTTCTTGATTAGCTTCCTTAGGTGTACAGATTTTAGTATGATGATCCTACAATTAAGATTTTCTCTTAAATGTCACACTTCCTATCCCATTGGAGAGGCCGCTGAGTGTATCTACTGTATCTAACCATTCCTTCTCTCCTCAAAGGTTCACCGCTTGTTTCCTTACAACCCCTTCTAGGTTCCCAGTCCCGCCTGAATGAGGCAATACAAAATCTTGCAAGCATTCGATCTTTCCAAGTCAAACACTCAGAAAACATTCTCTTCGTGACACCAGAGACAATCAAGAATCTGTTTCCTTCCTTGCCAGATACAAAGAATATATTGCCGGGTAGTGGCAAGCCCAAGGCCATGTGAGTTTGATAAGAGCTACTGTACATTCTTCACACCTTTCTCCTACAACCTCATTGTCTGGCCCTGATTTTACTCTGGTCTTTGCTGCCCACACTGTAGTAGAGGACCTCCATCCATGCTCATGCAAACAACTCTAATTAAATTCAGCTGTTCACACTGCACACACAAAAGAAATGAAAGGAGAGGAACTTGTGAAGAGGTCCAATAAAATGGAGGGAGTGGAATGAAAGTAATTAAGAGTCTCTAAAACCCAACACATGAGATATATATATATATATATATATATATATATATATATATGGAATTGTTAAAGAATAAACTTTTTAAAAGTTTGAATTATAGTAGTGCCAGCAGATGGTTTATGGAGTAAGGGCTTCGATGGTTAAGGCTGACCAACTGAGTTACTGAATTCAGTCCCTGGGACCAACACGGTGAAAGGAGAGAATCATCCCCCACAAGTTCTCTGATCCCCAGCACTGTGTATCCATATCCTCCTACTCATCCCCACCACACACAATCATTAAATAAATGGAGAAGGGAAAATTAAAAATGATCAAAATAATCTATAAAAGCCAGATCACATTTCCCTCTATTTTCATTATTGTATGAGTGAAGTCCTCTGTCCACTCTTCTGACCTTCATTAGTTTTGCTTACTTCCTACAACCACACTGGCCTTTCTGCCCCTGTAGCTACATTCTTGGACCTTGCATTTGTTGCTTCCAATGCTCTGTTGTGCAAAATAACAGGGATAGGGCAAACATATACCCTTCTGCTCACAGACTTTGCCTTTTTTCTTGGACTCTCCATAGCAATCAAGACATGTTTAAACTTTCATCCTTGGATGTTACCCATGCTGCCTTGGTGAATAAATTCTGGCTTTTTGGTGGCAATGAGAGGAGCCAGAGATTCATTGAACGCTGTATAAAGAACTTCCCAAGTTCCTGTATCCTGGGGCCTGATGGAGCCCTTGCATCCTGGACCCTAATGGACCAAACTGGAGAGATGCGAATGGGAGGAACTATGCCCGAGTACAGGGCCCAAGGTCTTGTCACCTATGTTGTCTATTCACAAGATCAGATTATGAAGGAACGTGGCTTTCCTGTTTATTCCCATACAGACAAAAGTAACACGGCTATGCAAAAAATGAGTTACTCACTGCAGCATGTCCCCATGCCCTGTGCCTGGAACCAATGGAAATGTGTGCCTATGTGAAGCCGGCTTCTTACACAAGATGGTGTTGGGTGGGCCTGGGAATGGAATCGGATGGTGACCAAAAAGACAGAATAAATGGCAACCAGCTACGAAGGAGTGGTGCTATCTGTGCTCTGGGGAAGCAGTGAATGGCTGGCAGATCTACCATAGTTCCTGTTTCTCAAGTTGCTCTTATACTCTGTTTGAAGCAGGCCTCTGTGCTCCTGTACATGTACTGAACTCACGTAATTTAGCCCTTTCACATTTCTGGGATCTACGTGACACCCACTGACCAAGCACGAAAGGCTCCAAATGGCTCCTCCCAGAAGTCATAGTGCAAAACTTGCACAGTTCCTGCTGGTGATGGAGGGAATATTTTCTGACTCCTGTGCCTTATTCCTATCTGTATATGGCCTTTCTTTCAGTGATCAGCAAGTGGTTTCTCCTCATCAGGTCTTTAGAAAGTAGCCGCTCCTCTGCTGGCTACTTCGTAGATATGTTAAATACATTATACACCCATCAGACAGTTTACCATATTAAACCCAATATACATAAAACAGCAAAGGGAGATACTAAGGAACAGCCTAACTTAGGTTTTCAGTCCCTTCTTAACCCCTAGAAAATGATGCAATATGGCTTTCCCAACCTATTGCAACCCTGAAAGAGTAAATAGAGTCTGTGGTTGATTGCATAAGCTAAATGTCCTATTCTAAGGAGGGCAAGGGGTAAGGAATGGAGAGTAAAATATGGATGCACAAAGGTAGGAGATGACGGCAGAGAAGCCCAGCCGGAACATTTATTGTCCCATCTCTTCTTGCCACATTACTTCTGGTGCCTGAATTGTGTTAAGCACAGAGCATTGTGGTCATGGGAAGATGTGTTGTTGTGGGAATAGCAGGAGAGAGCTCTTAGGTTGGGCATGTTTTCTAGGACATTGCTCTGACTCAGTATCAACACTGGACAGCCAAGAGTGCTCTATAATGGAGGTGATACACTCCCTTTTCATCTCTATCCCAGTGTTATGTTATAGAAGTGAGGATCTATTCTTACCCCACAAAGCCCAAAGTCATAGCTGAAGTTTAGTTTCTTGGAAAGTGAAGACACTGGAGGTTCAGATGAGAGAAGGGTTTCTCAGTTTTGGCACTGTGGGCATGTGTCACTGTATGATCCCATATTTGGGGACTACGATGTTAGCGAGGTCTCTACCTGCCAGGTGTGAGTAGCACCCTCCATCGCTCTTTTATTCTTATTCTCTTCTCTCCTCTCCTTCTCTCTCTGACTCTGTCTCTTTCTCTCCTCTCCCCCACTCCCCGCCTCTGTGCATGTGTGTGCACACAAAGGTGAACCTGCCTTCTTCTATTGCACTCCACCCCCACCTTTTGGAGGCTATGACTCCGTGATCCTGAACCTTGTCAATTCAACGAGGCTGGCTGGGCAGCAAGCCTCCACATTCCTCCTATCTCTGCTTCCCTAGCACTAGGAGTACAGGTAGGTGTTGACCTTGATTTCTTTTTAAACAAACCTACTTTATTTAGGATTATTAAATGCTTCTACCCCCCTTTCAGTCCCCCAACACTGGGTAGGATCTGGGTAGGGTCATAGGATTCTGTTGGGGGTAATACCAGTATCAGTTGCCCAGAAATCCAGAAGTCCAGGTCACCAGCAAATCAGCAAATGTAGCAGCAGGATGAACCGGCAGCAGGCAGTCCTCCTCCAAGCAGCCGTGCCTTCTTCCTCTGGATGGTAATATTTATACCCCTCAAAGTCCTCAGAATTCAACTAATTCCACCTGGCAAAGACCACGCTCCACACGAGACACTTAACAGGTGTGGGCGAATGAAAAGCACCAACTTGGAACTTTAACAAAAAACATGCTTACACATCATAAACCAGAACATTCACGGCAGGCACGCATTGCTGTAATCAGCTATTTACATTGGTGTTGGAGAGCCAAACTCAGGTTTGAAGAAAGGCATCAGATGCTTGGACACCAACTGACCTGTCTCCCTGTTTACCCATCACCCTTTTGATAACTGGAAATATCTGCGGATATTAATGTTTGGAGACAAAGTGGTCACTGGCTGGGAAACTGGCAGACAGTTGTGGTCCTTGGAATCTGTGCAGGCGTAGGAAGCAGCCGGCATAGTACCCAGCTGTTTGTGTACAGCTGCAACCCTAGATGCTCAGGAGGCCAAGATGAGATGCCCTGCATCTGCGAATCCAAGGTCAGTCTCAGTGAATGGAGACCCTGGGACAATTTGAGGGAAGAAAAGAAAGAAAAGGGTGAAGGGATGGAGGGAAATTATTTTAGAAGTCAGGCTGTGGAGCATCACACCTACTTTCTGTGACTTAATGATCATGATGAAAGCCCTAGGTTTTACATTTCTAATGAGTTTTCCCCTGACTCTGATGCTGTTACCGTCCTTTCGGAACCATGTGCTTAGAGAAATAATGGACATTTCTTCCCTAGGACTGTAGATGAAAATTCCTATTCCACTCTGCACTGTAAAACTTCTATGCATTTACCATTTTAAGGGGATCTAGTTTTTCACCACACTGAAATAAAGTCATTTACATCCTTTTCATATCTCATTTTAAGCTTCTTTGCGTTAGTTTGTTTCTTTGTTTGTTTGTTTTTTTTCTTTTTTCCCTCCTTGTTGTTGGTCTTTTGAGCTAGGGCCTTGCAAAGCCAAGGTTGGTCCCAAAGTGACTGTGTAGCTGAGGATGACTTTACATGAATGATAGTTCTGTCTCTACCTTCCAGGTGCTGAGATTGCGTGGGTGAGATTGCATGGGTTTCTGGTTCTCCTAAGCTTGTCTGGCTCTGGAAGTTTCCAGGCCAAAGGCATGTTCTCCATGCAGGGCATGAAAATAAACATAGCATATTTTTAAAGCATTCATCAATGTCAGTCATTAACTTATTTTAAATAATTTTCATTGGTCATGTGATTGATGGGAATTCTTTGTATGCTATTGCATTAAGTTGATTGTCGGTCATAAAAAATAGATATGTGAAAAGCAACACACTATTAATGTATATTTCAAACACTGTTCTCTGACATCAGGATATATCAATGTATAAAAGTATTTCTAAAGTGTTTACATTCTACACTCATTCAGTGATATAACCTCTGCAATGAAAACTTTAAATCTCTGAAGAAAGAGACAAAGGAAGACACTAGATAAAAAGATATCCCATGCTCATAGATTGTTAAGATTAATTCTGTGACAATGGCCATTCCCTCAAAAGCCATTTACAGATTTGATCTAATCCCAATCAAAATATCCATGACATTCTTCACAAATATACACCCTAACATTTGGAAGGTTACATACTTTAACTGGCTTATAAAAAAAAAAAAGCCAGAGTACAAACGATAAATTTAAAACCTAGATATGGTCTGTCAGCTTTTTATTATCCTATCTCAGCTGTGGCCCAGAGCAAAATTACATGTAAACTATGTTACTCTGAGGAAAAAAAAAGCATCTCATATATTGCAAATTTGTGAGTCACTGCAGATTTTTAAGTTCCTGAATTAAAAAAAAAATGTACAGTGAATCTGATTTTTCTAATCCAATAGTGATTGTTCAGGGGACATTTTCTTACCAAAGGTGACATTTGGTAATGTCTATAGACATTTTGTTTGTCGTGTCAGTGGAAGGTAAGGGTAGAGGGAGGACTGTTTCTCCAGCTATCTAGTGATTAGGAATGGAGAATAGAGCTACATATCCCATAGTGTACAGGACAATACCTCATGGCAAGAAATTATTACTCCATATAATACTTCCACAATCAGAGGGTGAGAATACTGTGTCGATGATTAGCATAAATTAGCATAACAAATTTTTTTCTTGGAGAGGAAATGCACCATTCCAGCTTACTGCGATTGTTAAGCTAGCATAAACTAGTCATGTTTTCCAGATTTGTCTCCAGTGAACTGACTGAATCTGCTGAATGCCATCTTTATTGTTACATCAATAATTTCCTAAATTTAAGAAGGGACTATGAGAGCTCATTATCTTGATTTGGGCACTATGTTTATACCTTATATTTTTGTGTCCTCAGATATGTTTGTAGTTTGCACCCAGAGCTGTGGCGTGCCTAACAGTGCCACTGTTAGGTATACAACATAACACTGACTGGAATTCTTATGAACAAACAACACACACTACACTGTTAGTCATGTATTATTAAATTTAACTCTTCTAATAAGGCCTGGAGGCATGTCTCAGTCCACTTTCATTTTGCTGATGGATAACATGAGGTGCAAGGGGCTTAAATCAGGAGCCAATTTCTATCAGGAAGAAAATGAATTTGTGTATACATTGGTGTGAATACAGTTATTCTCAGAGCCCTATATTTTATGCCAAAAGCCGCACCTTTTCTTCAGGATTGGCGTGGCCTTTTGTGTGTGGCTGAAATGCCTTTATCTGCTGCTTATTTTAGGCATTCGTTTTTAAATTAATTCCTCTGCTGTTGAATCCTATGCAGTAAACTAGGGGAAATGGAGACAATAATTAAGTGAGATTAAAAAAATCAACTTCATTAACATTGCTTCAGCTGAATAACACCCTGATTAGATCTAAAGTTTGCTTTTGTCTGGCAGTCTGCATGTTAATTACCTAATTTCTTTGTTAACAAATTACTTAATATAAAAATGGATACAGTGACTAATCAATTTCATGGGGTTCATTAAAGGATTGAATGACACATGATTCACCTAGAGCATAGAAATACAAGCTAAGAGACTGAAGGGTCTTATTAAGGCTTAGGGAAATGGATCTGTGAGTAAGAGCACTTTGAAAGCAACAGGATCTGGGATCGAATCCCCAGCAAATAAGAAAAAACCGGGCATGGCTGTGTGTGCCTGTATCCATAGCATTGGGGAAGAATGAGAGAAAAAAGAAATTCTGAAAACTCACTGTCAGCTGTCTCTACCCAAATTGGTTTCTTTCTGGTTTATTGAGAAACCCTGTCTCAAGAAATAAGGTGGAGAGCAGTAGAGGAAGATATGCAATGCCTTCCTCAGGCCTCAACTTGTACCTGCATCTCTCTCTCTTTGTCTCTCTCTCACCTGTGCCTGTGCACACACATTCACACAGGACACACATAATCTTATTTGGAAAATAGGTTCATTTCAGGCATATGACCTCGAATGAGTCATTTCCTACCCCCTTGGACTCAGTTTACTTATACACAAAATTAGTAAGTTGGGAAGGTGCATTACAAGGTATTCCCATGGTCTTGAAGTTTAGGAACAGGCTTTCTAGGTGTACAAGAAGAAAGAGCTGTCTCCTGGGTTATGGTTACAGCACAACAGGGTACAAATCAACCTCCTTTCATTCATCTTAGAATTTCCTCAGGGTACAAATTCATTTTTACATCCCACAGCGCTTTAAAATACTCGCAAAAGTACTTCTTAAAAGTTTGCCATCTAGAGAAAAGTTGTATGTCCAGATATGTAATGTTCAAATGGCCGCTCCATGAAGCAAATGCTTCTTGCCAAAGCCTCACTGATGTCCTTTGATTTCATGATTTGTCCCACTGTATTTTTTTCTACCATACATCAATACAAACATGTTCTTAGGCACAATCTAAAACAGAAGCACGTGCAAGTGAGAAGTTTGTCAGAGACAAATTGAAGTGCTGGTTTGTAATAGAAATAACTTAGGAAAGTTAATTATAGTATCAAATATTACAACATATTTATGTAATATTTATTTTTAAAAGATTATTTATGTTGAGGTCTTAGATCTACTAAATATGTCAGAAGGAAAAATAGAGAAGATCCTTGAACTCACCAGCACAAAAGACAACTTCCTGAACAGAACACCAACAGCTCAGGCACTAAGTGGGACTTCGTGAAACTGAAAAGCTTCTGTAAGGCAAAGGACACTGTCAGCAGAATAAAATGATAGCCTACAGTCTAGGAAAGGTCTTCACCAACCCTACATCTGACATAGGGCTAATATCCAAAATATATAAAGAACCCAAAAAATTAAACATCAAAAAACCAAATAATCCAATTTAAAGGTGGGGTACAGAGCTAAACAGAGAATTCTCAATAGAGGAATATCGAATTGCAGAGAAACACTTAATAAATGCTCAGGGTCTTTAGTCACCAGGGAAATGCAAATCAAAACTATTCTGAGATTCCACCTCACACCCATCATAATGGCTAAGATCAAAAATTCAAGGAAGGACACATGCTGATAATGCATCTTAATCACACTCACTTCCCAGCCCTCTCAGGTCTTCCCTCCTCCACTCTTCTCTCCCACCCCAAGAAGAAGAAGAAGAAGAAGAAGAAGAAGAAGAAGAAGAAGAAGAAGAAGAAGAAGAAGAAGAAGAAGAAGAAGAA